TTTCTTTGAAGTGATGTTTTTAGCCCTTACAAATCTTGTCACAATCTCTATAATCATACCTGGTGGTAACAGAGGTCCGGATCCACAATGAACACGTGACAGGAAGTCCTCAAACTGCTCTCTTCATCTTGTCCATTGCTAAAGTAACAATCTTCCTGGTCGTCAGTGGTCTGCATTGTGACCAGTCCAAAGAATCGGCGGTCGTCAGGACAACAGGCGCTGAAGGCTAGTTTTTCTGCAGGATAGGTTGCCAGAACTTGACCTCTGTCACTGCACAGACGCACACTGTCATGCATGACCTGGTGGGATAAAGTTGAAACACATAACAATATACTACTAGGCAAAAAGAGTGCAACATTCACAGTTTGGTTAAACTTTCCTGATTGATAAAGTGTTTAGTTATGGCTGCCTCAGGCTTGCTTTGCTGATCATTGTAGCAGACACCTGTTGCCTTGGGCCTGCTAATTATCACTACTATTGTTAATACTACGTCCTTTATTAATATAGTCAAATTTATTTTTATATTACAATTGTTAATGATATAATTTGCAATATTTAACATTTCTGTCATACTAGTTGGTATAGCTGATATTGTTTTCATTATAAATCTTTGTCATATTTCTCCTTCTTTTTAAAGTAGCCCCCTCAAAGCAGATGGCAATCCCACAGGCCTTTATAAGGTTTGTGCTTGTTAAATTAAAAAATGATTCTTGCAAATTTGCCAAATGCTTTACCATGTTGGAATAGCTGGGTCTCTGTAAATAACATTATATAAATAGTACTATATGAATAAAACTGATGTGTGACTGATGAATGACAAATAGAAGGATTTGTTAAGCTGATGCAGAGTGATGAGCCACATAAAGTTGAGATGCCTTAAAGGGCCATTTCACTTTAAGTAAAGCTAGTTATTCATGCTAAGTTAATAAGATATTCTTTTAAGATAGATAAAACATATTACCACACCTTCATAAGAACCAGTGAGTGGATCTTTTGTTCTGCCCGGAGACGCCTCATGCTGCATCTTATTGCTTGCAGGCTGTCATTCTCTAAACTCATCCCTGAGGAGGCCAGCTCAATTGAGCCCAAATAGCCAACAATCATGCCCACATTTAAGATGCCCTCATTGGGCTCTAAGACCAAGTCACCCCCATCTTCTACATCCAAGTCTTGCTCTTCATCATGGTGGAGGTGGAGCTGACGAAAGTCCGAGTCCAGGAAGACTGAGTCATCATTTAGAACTTGGGCCATCTCTTCCTCAGAGAGAAGGTTGGGGTTGCTGTGGAAACGGGGGTTCTGATATGGAGGGAACTCCGGGTCAGACAGGGGACGTGGCTTTGATGATGAGCTAATCCTAGGTCTCTCCTTGTCCGAACTGCTGGAGGAGTGGCTGGAGTTTTCAAATATCATGTTAAAAATGCCTCCGGACTGCAGCTCTGCCACAACCTTCTCTGCCCTGTTAATTCCCTGCTGTTTAGAATCTGGCTTGGGTTTATACCAGCCTCCTCGGGCTCCGCAGCCTGACCTGCTGTTATTGTTGTTGTTAACGCTTTTGTCATAGAAGCCATCCAGCTCATCCTCACTGGAGCAGGAGTCCGGGTAAGATGCTGCCATTGCACTGCTGTTGTTGTGACGACTTCCAGTAGAGCGCTGGTGGTGGTGATGGTGCCGCCTGTGACGTTCTGCCTCCGCGATGACGAGTTTCAAGATGCCAGAACAGCGTCCAATAAGTTTGACCACATCTTCGTGGGACGCCTTGGAGACATTGATGTCATTAACAGAGAGAATGTGGTCTCCTGAACGCAAACCTACATACTCCGCAGGGCTCCCTTTCAGGATGCTGCTGAGTACACATGGACCTTGGCCTGACAGTGTAAAGCCATACCCTGTTCTACCTCTTGCCACCTCTACAGCCCGGATACGACCTTGCTGGATAGAGGAAGAGGGTGGTTGAAGCTGGTTGAGCCCACTTCCACCGCAGGGGCGTCTTTTGGATGTTGCATCCCCTTGCCTGAACATTGTGCCAGGTAACTTCCTCTTGTCCATTGATGAAGCAGGTTTTAATCAGTCATTGTTTTGTCCCGTGCCTCAGCTAGAGCAGGAACACAGCCACTTACAATATCTATCGTGTTGTTGAATGATTTTATGCTGACCTGCCTGAAAACAGGTGTCAGTCTTAAATGCAGCAGAGGGGTGAACGCTTGGTCTGGCTCACAGTTCTTCTTGTAGTGGTTTCTCTCTCTCCCAATATCATGTCTATTTTACCTGCAGAACAGAACACAGCCAGGTTAGTGAAGAATCTTTAACACACTATGGCTGTCTTTACCTCAGCTTGTATGAAATGTATTCTACACATTAAATGTCTTGTATCTCTGGTAATGCCACATGCAATCTTAAAAATCATTACGGTCATCTAAAATATCAGAAATAGACAAATTACACGGTTATCTTTGTCAGTATTGATATTTATAATGAGCCCAGGTGAAGGGACTTGACACACAGCTACACCTGCGCAGGGCGGAGTCACTGCAGCTCTGTCCAATGAGAAACATGTTTACAGACTGAACGTGTTCACACCTGGCAGGTACACACACACACACACTACAACAAGACAACCTCTGGATCACCATTCACTGCATGTTTCTTATTGTCTGCGTTCATTCCGTTTGTGTTCAGGGTGGCTTGCTCGCACATAATCTTCAAAAACTCACAGACTTTGAAGACAATGTTAACTTTAGCTGAGATTAGCTCACACAACACAGTACAGTTAGCTTTGTTAGCTTCACACGCTAGAACAGATACGAGTTAGTGCTGCTCGTGACGACCGCTTTTAAACGAAAATAAAAGACAACTATGTGGTTTCCCCCCCCCCCCCCACTTTATTAGGAGAAGCATGCCGTGATTTCTGACGCTTGCTGAGAGTTACCGAAAAAAGTTTCTCGCCGTGCCTTGCTGTTCGAAAGTGCATTCATCCATGCTTAAACGATCGTCCCGCCCCTCCGACTTCCAGATCTTTGGAATGTCGGCCTGTAACTATGGCAACGTCAGTGTACACAGACTTTTACATCCCGTCATTGGTTTCCAGAGGTGTCAGTCAGACAAGCGAACAGTTATGTGGATAAATTGGCAAAAGTTAGTTTGAGAAATCACATATAAAAGTAGCTACAGTAGCATATTTTAATCCGGTGTCAAAACTTAATATAATTAAAAAGGCAGGTCCGTTGTTTTGAGGAATGTTACTGAAAGCAGAGTTCACGCACCAATCCGTATTTGACAACCACGAAGCGAGGCAGCAGCAGCAGCTGTCTGAAGTCCGCCTGAGTTGTAAAGCAGTGATGTGCTCAGGAAAAGGTGAATTGTTTCATGTTCTTTTGTTTCATGTTTCTGGTCGTGCAGTTTCACTCCGATTCTTAAAATAACTTACTTGTCGCTGTCCGGCGGCGGGGCTGCCTGTCCATACTTTAGTATCCAGGGTAAGTAGGTAAACTCAGGGACGATGGGTAAACAAAAGAAAAGGCTGCACCATCTGGCGAAGTACCCTAAAGAGGAGGAGGACTGGAGGGGAGGGAGGTGTGTTTAGACCGGACAAGGGGGGGGGGGGTTAAAAGTTCATTAACTTTGTTGTTCCTACATTTCATCTTGTAATCCTTTAGCTGTCACTGATGACTTTATTGTGGCTGGTTGTGGTTCAATCTATCGATTCTTTTTTTGGGGGGGAAAGGGCTCCAAATAATATGTAATGCTTTAATTTTTTTACATTTTGATATCTGAAATGCTGTTTTATTCCAGAAAAAAAAATCAGCATTTCATTTAACACCCATTTGCTCAATAACTAAATAAACTACATGACTAAAGTGTTATTCAAGTATAAATGTAACCTGCTCTGCCTAGTGTGATGTTTGTTATGTAAGTTTCTAAGGCAGCTATGTACATGGCTTTTCTTCAGTGTTAAGCACATGGTTAGCCTTTTGTCCAATTCAGTCGTAGAGCCTAGTGTTTGCAATGCAAAGTGACTTAATACCTGTGCAATCATGAATACAACTGAGTGTTTCATGTACCATATGGCAGCTGTCTTGTAATCCTGTTAATACCTTTTAATCATGAACCACTCACCGTAATGGGAGCTGTAAAACAAGAGCAAACTGTTTCCATGCTGTGTCTAAAAAAGGAATTACAGCCTGGTTGGGAAAACAAAATTAGATCAGATGTAAGAATGCGAAAGAGATCATTTAACAAGCTTTAAATACACTTTAATAGAATTTTCTTAAATGTCATATTTATGTTGGTAAATATTTTTCTCTGTTTCATTGTATTGTTAAAGCAGTGAGGAGAAGACAGGCGGGGTGTGGCTGCATCCTCACAGTGGATCCTGTGTGCAGAGCAGTTTTTGTAAAGTCTTAACTGGATTTTCTTTTTTTATTAGTTTGTCAGCTCAACAGTTTAACTTGATTTACAGCATGAAGAGTTTTAAAGATGAAACATCACAAAAAAGTAAAGTAAAATAATTTATTCATCTCTACAACAAACCATATGCAGGTTTCAATCTAATCATATTATTAAAAAATAACTAAAACACACAATCTCTTTTTTCAATGGACATTGCAGATAGTAAAAAAAGATGTAAGGAGGTCACAGGGTCCTGTTGAGGATCCTGTAAAAAATATGCAGTCCATTGTATTGTCAGATAATTATTGTGTAAATAACTGCCAATGTCCTCATTTCAAAAAGAAGTGACATGACCAATCTAGAAAACGTAAAAAATAAAAAGTTGTAACCAGCGATTATTACCTTTCTGCTTCTGAGCAGTTGAATCTTCAACTGGAAGAAAATAATCTCTTAAACATTAAAGATAAGCATGTGAAATCTGTTGAATATGACATTTGTCCACATCCCAAAAACTACAAGATTTTAAATTCATCTCATTACCCCTGCAGGGGTCCCGTCACTTCTGGTCCTTCCTATGCTGGAGAAAATACTGATAGAATCAGGATGAGACAAACTAATTCTTTATGCTGTTTAATGGATACCCTTTAGCAAAAATAAAATACAGGTTCTGCCATTCTTTGATTCATTTTAACATACAATTTTGGAGACTTGGTGTCAGAAAAAAAACATTTAGGCCTATTTGCTCCCCTTTAGGGAGGCCTCACATTATCATTTTAACAAAAGCTGACAAAGACTCTGTTTCTTAAATTGTGTTTATGCATTATTTCAACATGGTGATGGTGCTGACACATTTAGCATAAAATCATGACGGTTTTACTTTTAAGAGTTGCAGGACTCTTTGCATATCAAGAAAGCTCCTTCAATCAACATGACACAAATCTCAGAGTTTTTTTTTTGTGGTAGGTGTTTGTTGAAATTCTAAACAAAGACAATTAAAGATGAAATATTAAAAACTGACAGAGACAAAAATAATATTTAAAGCTAAAAAAAACAAAAAAACAATCTGCATTTCACATGCCACCACCATGCTACACTTCCTTATCTGTTGATTTGTCAAAGCTGCTGTTGGTTGCTAAGGTTACAAGGCTCCCTTTGGATCGTGTTACATCTTTTCTGCACAATGGTCATGGTAACCATACCCACAGAAATACGATATTAAAGACTATGCAAGAAAATAGCAGTCAAACTAAGCATGCTTTCAAGCTTTTTAGTGTACAGAACATATATTCAGTCTTTATCTAAGGCAAGTGTATGTACAGGGTAACGACGCCCAGCACGCTCCCAGGCAACTCAAGGTCAAGTCTTCATTAAAATTGTATAAGCTTGTCTATTTTTGCATTCTGCAGTCTCCCTGGCTTTTCATTTCATCATGTGTTTGTGTGTGTTAAGACAAAACGAAACAACATCACCTATTTTAAGATCTTTCATCTTTACACAGTTCTTAATTTATCATGCACGATGGCTTTCATATTACTTTACAATAATTTTTTTTTTTTTTTTTTACAAGATACGAAGTTAACTCCATTTAAAGATTTGACTGCAAATTACTTCCAGTCTTATTACAACAACAATAAATCACATCTTACAACCTGAGAATTAAAAAAAGTACAAGAAAATGACAGGTGGAATCATCCAGGTGCACTGTGGGGCTTACAAGAATTAATATATATATATATATATATATATATATATTTTTTTTTTTTTGTTTTTAAAGGACTTGGCAGATAAGCAATGTCAGAAACTCATCAGAACGTGCCCTCTCCCCCACTACTTGGTAAAAAGTAAAGATGACAACACTGCTATTTTGCTAGTTTTCCTGCTCGATTGTTCCAACCCTCTTGTGTGTTGGTGTATGGGCGCTTACAAAGTTATGACTACGTTTAATGAAGAAAAAAAAAACATGTTTTTTTTATATTTAAGTATGAACCCCTATAGGTCTTTGTCCAATCAAAACAACATCAACATTAGGCCACTGAACAGAAACAATTGTTGAAATGGGTGCATACAAGTCAATTCCTGCTGTGAAAAGTACAATTTGAACATCCGTCCCAAGCGTCTCATCATCATTGGAAAAAAAAATACGATAGCTATAATTGATCATTCCTTAAAATTAAATATTTACTAACTTTCGTGTCGGAATGATCATGTTAAGCAACATTAAGCAGACATTTGTGATATTTGTGTCAGCCTAAGTATCCTAACCAGACCTTTAGCACTCTTACATAACACACTGAAAAATAGACGCACTGAAACTTTATATATTGTAAATACTTTGAGTTTTCTAATTTGTTTTCTCTGTTTACATAACTGACATACACCAAGAGAACTCAAACAAGTCCCAATGGGAAAATAAGCCAATCCAATTTTGTGTTTGATTATTGTCTTTTTCTTCCAAGCTTTCATTCAAGGTGGTGTCATTCAGGGTTGGAGGGGGGGGGGGGTGCAGCCAGTGTCCATCATCTTAAGTGTATTCTCCAGACAGTCCTTTCATGTAACTAACGACCTAAAACTGACATTGATTCGGATATAAACTTGGTTTGGCCTTATACTCACTGACTTCAGTAGTTCTACTTATTCATATCAGTGCATATGAAGGAAAGGGATGAGGCTGCAGTAGATTTGTCTGAAGAAACACTCTTCTTCCTTTACTTCACAACTAAAGGAGACTTCATTATTTCCCCAGCCAAATGTATCTCTAATCCACTTTTCACCCCATGCTTCTTTCCCTCTCTCTCTGTCACCCTCACAGGGTCGTGTCCTGGTGGATTGACTGCAGGCAGCCCAGCAGCTGGTGGTAAGGGCTGCCTGGAGACGCCACTGTCTCAAAGACGGACTGGAAAGCCCTGCGGTCCAGCTCCTCGTCAATCTGGTGCCGGTAGAAATCCATTGCCACGAGGCAAAACAGGTTTACATCCACTACCTCACTGGAGCCCATTCTGCTGATCACATGTGGCAGTCTGGTTAAGAGCAGAGGGGTTAAGGACAATATAACGTGCAGTTACACTTTACTTTTGCATCCCAACACACTTTTTAGAATAGATATATAGATAAATCACTGTCCCACTTATGTGAAATCTGTCAGGTAAGGATACAGGGCTGAGATCCATTGGGAGGTTGAAGCAGAGACAAAGAAACAGGAGAGACTCCACATGGCCATGGCTACTGGTGTCCTCTGAGTGAAGTTAGACAAGGACAACAGCACCCAGTCTCGCACCATAGAAGACTGGCCAGTGGCATGGAGTGTCTGGAAAACCTGGAAGTAGGACCAGAGCAGAGCAAGAGGCAGGAAAAGGGAGGGATTAGACTAAGACAAGTGAACTGTTATTACAGAAAAAAATCCAGACTTTGTAAAGATGTGCTTAAGTTCAAGTTGATTACATTCCATTTCATCACACATTAAGAACAGGTAAGCATGAATAATGACTCGTCTTACTAAGCCCAACGATCATGGATTCCCTTGAACGTACAGCATAGTGACAGCAGCCTTCTGCCATTTAAATTATTGAGATTTTCTTTCACATATCCTAGAAGCCATTTGACCTGAATGTAGCAAGAAACATATTTCTTTTTTGCAAACTATGCTCATTAATTAGTAAAGTAGTATTCTGATCTAGTACAATAATATTTTGCCCAAGTTACTTCATTTAAGCACATGCAGTTTCAGTGTATTCCAGGGTATATAGGCTTATTTTATGTTTATTTTTGGTAAAGTTATTTAAATTAAAAAACATTTTAATGCTGAGAAATAAAAAAAAAAGTTTTTCTTTTTTAAAGTACATTATCTGGTTTCAAGATCTTGTAGGCAAAGGCCAACAATTCCCATCTACCCATGTTAGGATGCTGTTTATCAACATGTCCTGCTGCTCACCTTGTAGACAACAGTGGCCATGAACTGTGGGTAAGGCTGCTGATTAGACAAGAACTCTCCGATGACCTTGTTCATGACGTCCTGTGGCGGGAAGAAGTCGTCTAGAAACTGGGGTAAAATCCTGGACACCACCCGAGCCTCGCTTGGTAAACCTTTCCGGATCCTACAAATGGAAACATCATCAGAGCAAATAATGATGGGAAATGAAGTACATCAGCTGCTACAAACAAATTATTCTGACCACTAAAAACCCATCGGTACACTTTTGGGAAGAAATCTCCAAATGTAGACGTTAGCGTGTTTGGCTTGCCGTTGGTACACCTTTAAAAAATAATTATCGTGCAGTTCTTGTATAGTGGAGGTTGTTTGAAAAGTGGTTGTACCTGTCAAAGAGCACCGAGACCCTCTCCATGGCAACAATGATGGATTCACTGTCTGGGGCCTGTGGGTCAGAGTGGGTGGGGCGACTGGCAGGGCTGGCTTTCTCCTTGCCTGAGGAGAAACCAACATGACCCGTCGTAACGCCCAGCGCCTCTGCTACGGCAGAGCCAGAGTCACCCTGACCTCTAACCCCTGTCACGTCTGAACCCGACGCAAGCACCGCTGAGAGAACGAGAGAGGGGGGGTGGCACGGGTTGAACCAGTGGGGGAGAGGTTAGAGTGGGTAATAAGGACATTGATATCATAAGATTCAGATCAGAATTTAGCTCCCTTAGGTCAATTCACATTCTTCAGACGTAAGAGATTGTTGCTCAAAGTATTTGAGATTTTTAACGTCACGTTTTGAAGGGACATAATTACCAGAGAATCTTCTCCTGTGACCTGAATGAGCTTTAGCTTGTTTTGCTTTACAGCAGACGAAGAGGTATACAGAGGGTTGTAAGTCAGTTTATATTTGCAAGAGGGGTTTTACAAGAACAAATTTGTAGGCTGGCTCTTAGCAAGAGGTGTTATCTAGCAAGTCTCCAAATGGACGATGACATGCTAGAAGTTGGAAAAGTTAGTAGAGGCCGACGTATAGGGGTTTGAGGTAGGGTATAAACGAATATCATAGGTATGTATACATCACATCTATCACATGCAAGAAGCAAGCAGGTACTTTGTGCTTAATGTTATATCAAGCATTATTAAAAGGTTGGTGAAAATTGTTAAAAGTTAATCAAAGTTAGTCATAAAAAGGTGTGCAGTAAATACATGTGGTTGTTACTTGCATTGGGTGTAACGAGAGCTGATGAGTATACATGTGATAATGGTACATTAGAAGGGTAATTAAACTAAGAAACTCATAGTATATTATCAATGATAAGACACACTACATACTTCTAGAATTGTTTGTGTTAACCCTGTTATCTTACAAACACAGGGCTGAAAAGATCACATGTACGAACATGACCTGAACCACGATCTTTCCTGTTCTCAAGCCAAGTCTTCCCTGAGCTACTGCAGACCATACACCCTTATTTTCGATTGTTATATCAGAGGCCAATCATTAATGTGGGATCGGTGGGTTGGTCACTTTGCAGCACGGATGCCCTTATTTTATATAAATGCTCTCAAATGCAATCTTAACTTACGTCAGCGCTGCTTTAGTGAGTATATCTAATGTATGAGAAAGGCCCAACAGCAGCAAAAGCACCACTAAGCTCTAGTGGTGATGTAACAGGAAGGCAGAACACTAATGTTTCGGCCCTGTTGGCACCTCACTTACCAGTGTACATGCAGGTGAGCATGAGGCCCAAGGCAGCCATGGCTCTGTGCGGCGACGGCATGTTGACTCTGTCCACACTTAGTTTGACCAGCGCTTCTCCGTCAACACGGGACAGCTGCTCTGACAGCAGAAGGCGCTCCAGACCACGAAGCACACAGTGATAGATGACTGAGGGAGTAGAGTCCTCGCTTGCTGACACCATCACACCACACAACTGGAAGTAAAAAGCTCATGATGAACACTGACACGACTTTATTCATTGAATGTCAAAAAGAAAAAAAAAATTAAAAATACAACCCTCAATTATTTTTGGTTTCATGTAACAAAATAACTGAATGTCATGCACCTGTATAACCCCAGCCATAAAGTCAGCGCCAACATCCAGAGGGTAGTTCTCCATCATGTAGAAGGCCACTGCACACATTACCAACACATGCTGCTGGTTATGCAGGTTCACACAGCTGCAGAAAGCAAAGAGAGAACATAGAAAGTAAATGAAACAAATGCAAGTTAAATTTGAAGGTTATAGGCAGTTATAGGCTTGCAATCTGAAGCTTGTTTCATGAACCCTTTAAATGCCAAATGTATTTTTTGTTCCTTCTATTCCAGTCTATTTTCCCCGTGCTGATGTGTAAGATTTTTGTATCCAGGTTCCTCTTAGTTCATTTTTTTATTTCCAAGAAAAAAAAAAACGATTTCAAGATGGGGCACACCCCTGCATTCTAACCAATTACAGCCCCAAAATATATAGCACAGCAACAAGCTGCACGGCTGAGTGACCATTTCTAACTTCCAACTTTTGGTTTCTAGTTCAACATAAACGCCTTCACTGACATTTTACATGTGATCATGATCTAGATCTAGTAGCCAACAACTACCATTGAAATGTTATATGAGCCATGGTTCAGTTTGTTCTAAAGTGCCAAATGTTCCCAGTCTATGGTTTAAAGCTTAAAACACACAAATGTGTCTGGGAGGCAGTTTGTTCCAGAAGTCACTCACTTTCATAAACAACAATTTGCTTCCCAAGGCTCTTTCCTGACCAATGCAGCTTTTTAGATGAAGAGATGCCAAAGAGTTGTTTTGAATAGACTGAGGATGATGAGTGATACTCACTGAGCAATAGCCCTGAGGTTTGACAGTAGATAATCAGAGACAATTGGTATAAGCTGTTTGGCCGTGTCATCCAGCAGGTCACACTCCAACACATACAGTACTCCATGCAGAGCCCCCATACGGCTGGGCAGGTGGGTGCTACGCAGGGTAGTTTCCAGCAGTCGGCACACAGGCTCGGCTATTGCTTTGTCCTGTAATTATATATTCAGTTGTCAGTTTTCATACACTGTAGTCTCTCACTTTGATGGTACACCGCTACAACCAATAATTCAAATAAATCATTCCACTGTCAAAAAGGTCTCCAACCTACACAAAGCGATACTCACCATGCCCAGTACAGCAGCAGCCTTACAGATGCAGGGACGAGGTATTGATTAAGGATCTCATCTTCTGGAGGGTGGAGCTTCTGCAGTTCCATCAGGGTGGTGAACATCATTTCAAACTGGTTCCTCTCTGTGAACAGGTCAGACACTGCCAGCAGCTAAAGAAAAAAAAAAATCAAAGATAGACACACCGTTACTGTCTTATTCCTGTAGATCACCTCAAATATTTGCTTCACATCAGGGCAGGTATTTATTGTAGGGGTGTTTATTGTAGCTCACCGATCGGACCACTTCACTGATGAGTATGGTTGGGGTCCTCCTGTTAGTTGGAGAGCCAGGGATCAGCCACTGGCTGTAGAGCTCCAGGAGAAACTGGGAACATGAATGAATGTCCACACCTGCACGATGCTTCCTGAGAGCACAGAAGAAGGTTTCATTGTGTCCTCTTATTTCAGTGCATTATGTGTTGACATTAAAGAAGCATATGAGTGTACATGTCTTCATTCATTTCTGACCTGGAGTTGATGGGAGAAACAGGGGGGGAGGTGGGGGCTGGAATGTCTGTTTCATCTTCTTCATCCTCACCCCATTCTTCCTCTCTCAGTGGGGTGATGTTGTTCCCTAGCCAAACTGAGTGGATGGAGACCTGGGAGGAAAATAAAATGTAACATTCTGACGCAGAAAGTCAGTCAGCCTAAAATAACACACGGTTGCTCAACTTCGTTACCAACCACTTTCTCTATTTGCACATATCTCTTACCTGTCCTAATTTGTAGTCCATGTTTCCCATTTCCCTCTCCGTGTTAATCTGAAGCAGCAGCTTCTCATGGCTGATTAGGGTGCCGGCTGAAAGACAATTAAACAATGAATTAGAGTGGCAGGTGTGATAGGAGCTGAAGGTGGTAGTGGTTGAATTTTGTATTACCAGCTGAGGCGGACGACAGCGAGGGTACAGGGTCCCAGGCGTGGTATGGGTGGTGTGTATGGACATTGTCTCTCTTTGACACAAGGGCCTGAATCTCTCTCTCCACCTCACCCCTGATCACTGCAAGTTTCCTACCAAACCTGAGTGCATATATATATATACACAGAGAAATCTTAAGTAGTGCCAAAAATAAGCATGCAGCAATATTCAGTGGAAATTCAAAATAGCTTCATAGCTACCTTGTCTCCAGGGCTTTGAGGCTCTTATTGCGGGGCTGCTGTTCCAGACAGCTGACTGCAGGGTTTCCAGCAGTAGGCAGGGTCATGGCACTCAGCACCAGGCTGGTTATGGCCTGCACTGCTAACACATTCAACTGGGTACGCTCCAAGTCCTCCTAAGGAAAAAAAATAAACATTGAGACTGATTGTAGACATATAAAAAGGTGAACAGAGGACTACAATTTGCAAAATGTACTGCAATGTGTATATGAAGTTTCATAAAAACACCACACTTTAATACATTCAATTAATTCTTAATTAATTTTTCATGTATCAATGGTATCAGTGGGTATGCAGGCATGTCAGTTCTGACATGAGTTCTGTGAATATATCAATATCAGTAGTGGCTTGTTTCAGGAGTCAATAATAAAAATAGTCTCGTGTATACCTCCTGCTGTGTCTCCTCCTCCTGGTCCATAGTGATTGGTTGGGTGACCAGCACCCCTAACAGAGTAGCCCAGGTTTCCTCAAACTGAGTCCTGCTGCTCCAACCTGAGCACAAAATACCAATGTATATGAGATATTTCAGCTTCATAAGTGTAAAGATCCTACTGAACTAAATGTGGCATCATAACATGCTGAATTATTCATTCATTGTTTTTCATTCCTAATACATGACTAAGTTTCAATACCCAGTGTGTTGATGCGGTAGAGAAACTCTCTGAAGACATCTTTTTCCTGCAGGAAGTCCACAGGGATCTCAGGCAGTGTTGTGCCAAACTCACCTCCCGGCTGAGGGGACCAGCCCAGTTTCCAGACCTACACACACACACACACACACACACACATAAAATTCACTGACCAAAAAAAATCATGTTCACAAATTTGAGGTAATGTCTTTTTCACACTGACCAATGGAGGTACTCGAGTGTAGCTGTTGACCAGTGGGAGACGAGACAGGCTGATGACAATGTTGCGCAAGGTAGGTGTAAGGAAAGCAGGGAATGAACCATTTCTATGGTGACCAAGAGCAAGGATGCTCTGCAGGCCTTCCACTAGCTCTGCCATGATTTCACAAGCTCGCCACTCTAACATGTCTGCAACAAACACAATTTTATTAATGTTATATTTTTTTGTCATACAGAGTACATCTTGTTGCTTTTATTGAAATTATACTATACTTAATGGGTAAAACATTGCACATTTAACAAAGAGGCAAAAAAAAAAGTCCCTGAAAAACATCATGACAGTTTAATAGCAGTTTAATAGACTGTCTATGTGATTGCTCACGGTCAGCGTGTGCAGAGTCCACTTGGTCTTCTTCAGCGTCTCTGTCTGCCTTCGTCCTTTTCTTCTCTGGATGCAGAAGCTGGTCACCAGGACTCACAGCGACTATGAAGCAAAGATGGAAAAAGGTTGACCAGGATCTCCATTGAAATGGCATGATAGTGAATGCACAAACGTCCTGCTTGGTCTACTCACCTGCAACAATGATGAGGCGTAGGCAGTAGATGAGGGAGCAGGTGTGTGTGCTGTACTCAGGGGTGGAGAGCTTGTTCCAGACGCAGGGCTGCTGCAGGGACAGACAAAGGCAGGACAGAGCCCACTGGAGGTCCACACTCAGGGGCAGCTTGTCCCGGAGGAGGTGCCATACAACCACCTGGGCAAAAGAAAAATCAGTTAGAGATGAAAATGGTAAGCAGTGGCAAAGACTGCCAGGGTATACAATCCAAATTCTTACAAAGTTGGAACATTGTGTGAAGTGTAAATCAAAAGTGGATGTACCGGTAATTATTTGCAAAACATAGAAACTCCATATTTGATTTAAAATAGTAAAAAGGCAACATACCATATTTTGTAACTGAAAAATGTAATAGATTTGGGGAAATTATGTGCTTATTTTGAATTTGATGCAAGAAACACAAATCAAAAAAGTTAGTTAAAGTCCATGTTCACTGCTCTGACTTCAGATTTGGCCTTTCTGGGATTCAGCTTAGTACCATGATAGCCAATCATGTTACTATACTGATACCAGTTAACCTTCAAAAAGGTGTTTCTTTATGCCTCCCTAAGCTTTCAGTCTTCTGTGGCCATGGTTCAAGCTGCTCTTGAAATGTTTTGCTGGCATCAAATTGAAATTGGGCATATCATTTTCCAAAAAACAATCAAATTCAGCAGTTTCAACATCTTACTGATGTCTTGTGCTATCTTCAATCAAATACAGGGTATCAGTGTTTTGCAAATCAGGGTATTTTGTTTATCTAAATTTTACACAACGTGCCAACTGTAAAGTAAATGAGGTTGTATACTGTAAATATCCCCAACATGTATAATTTATGTAATTTGTACCCCATAAACCCTTTTCACACATACAGAAATCTCCTGAAGATTAGGTGCAGACTTTACGCCAGAGCCCTAGTATTTTTTTCCGCAGAAAATATGAGTGAGCTGATGTCTGAACGAGGCAGCATATACTCCAGAAATTTCAACTCCAACTTTCAATAAAAGTTTATTTCAAATGATTTAACTAATGATGATATAAATAAGTGCAAGAAAAATAAATGTTTAATATAGTTTTTTTTTTACCTCAGCAGCAGTGCAAGTGAAAGTGGTGATAAGGTGCTCCTTTTCAGAGGGGATGTGTAGGGAGGAAGGCAGCTGGCTTACACTCAGCAGGTACTGGGAAAGAGCTCTGCAGAGTGACAGAACCCTCGGGTAGAAACCAGGCTCCCCTGAAAAACAGGCAGGAAATCATTAATAAAAAGAAACCATTTTACTGTAGCTGTGAACTGATATTTTTCCTGCAGTTTCCCCCCTTACAATATTGTTTTACAACCACAACTTTCCCTTCTTTTAATACACAAGACTACAGTTAAGTAGTCTTAAAAAAATGTCTTGAGGAAAACATTGCACGTATTCCTGAAAATGGACATGCCTCAAAAGAAAATAAGAAAAATGTATTATTGCATTGCTAACTACTTCACCAGACTGTTTGCATCACTTGAGGTCTGATGTTGGGTAATAGAGATTAATAAGAAAATGAATCATCATCAGAATCGCTGCTGGTTTCTGGGACTGCATTACGGACCATGCATTGCTCCTCTCTCCACATGGGCAAGATTCCTGCATTCAGCAAATACCTGCTGAATGGTAGAAGACAATACTACTCCGAATAGAAACAGAACCAGATGCCTTTGACACCCAAACATGTATCACTCCCTTTCAAGATGTTTTATGTTCAGAATTTGTGTACTTGAAGTGTTGAGAGGATGCTTTACATGATTTTGAAGTTAAGTGAATAACATAAATCAATGTCATTTAATCATGCACTTAAATTAAATGTTTTATATTTAATGCAATTTCCTCCAATAATTTCCCATTCCCATTCCCCTCCACTCTCACCATACACAGCAGCTAGTTGCTCCCAGTAGGGCTGTGGCTGGGAGGCTGGCAGGAAGGACTGGTGAGGGACCGGAAGTGATCCAGTGATTGCTGCAAGGCGCTCCAGGGTGGACTGCAAGGCAGTCTCGAACAAGAGTGAACCCTGACCCCGGGCTAACCGCTGCAACCCCATACTCAGGCACGGACATAGCAGGCTCAGGTTGAACTCCTTGGGAGAAAAGGGCAGGTTGAGATGCAATAAATGTCATATTTTGAATATGTTCAAGAATAATTATCGTTCAGGTCTGCAAGTCTGTCTCACCTTGCAGCTCATGATGCTTAACAGGTCAGCAGGAGGTAGTTTGGTAAGGAGTTCCGTCGTCTCCAACAGGGAGACATCTCCACGAAGGCAACACTGAGACTTCACCAGAGCAACGTACCACTCCTGAAAACAAAATTCAATGAAGATTAACTTCTTTATTCTGCAAGAATAAGATACAATAAAACATGGTTGCATACACTAACAGTCAGCTTCCCTTATCTCTCACCTTATCTGCAATGACCAGTTCAGGGGCAGGTGGTGGATTCCCATCCAATGGGTGAGATGTTACAGGAGGTGTTGGGCTTTTGGTGTCTGTAACAGTGGCCCTGAACCTGTCCAGCAGGGAGTAGAACCTCTGATGCCTGGAATTAGAAAAATTAGAAATGACATTACAATTTTTCAGTTTGACAAAAATCTGACCTGCAGGTGCAGAACTTCAACACTCACACCCATTCAGATATGAACAAGACCCAGAAATCACAGGTGAGAAGAAAATAACACCCTCTTAATAATGTTATATTGTAAGTGTTTTGTCTATCTCAAGGAAAATTTATAACAGTATATTAACACAACAAATAAATATTTCAACTTGTAGCAGAATAAAAGAGTGTTACCTCTGAGCCAGGCCGCTGGTCTGCAGGTATTCCTGGATCCTGTCCAGTTCTTCTACAGGCAGCTGGGCTATACTGTTCTACAAGAGAGATGGACAAAACTACACAAGATTAACCTGAGGCATATCAAATGTGTAGTGTACGAAAGAATAACTGTTTGATTCAACTGAACCTGGCAAAGGTTTCCTCCCATCCACCCATTCTACCACCTCCTTCTTATGCCTGAGTAAGGTTGCCTGCTGAGAGATCCTGAGGCTGTCCCGCAAGTCCCTCCTCCTAGTTGGATTTACCAGGAAAACCCCCAAAGGGAAGTGTCCTAGAGATCCAATGCTCCATACCCTCTTTAAAGCTGAGCCCAGCCACCAAACAACAAAAATCATTTGGCAACTTTTATTCCCAGATGTATATTGTTGGTCACCCCCAAAGATAAAGATCTTAGATTCGGATTGGAAGAATCCTATCAACAGATGTGAACCAGAAAAATAGCTCCCAAGGCCTTTCATGACTTTAAGGTATTGATCATTAATCTTGGGTATATTAACCTTTTACAATAAAAGAAATGTTTGCATTATTATTGTTATCTATTCTTTTATTGAGTCTTACAAGCCCATGTGATCCCTACGTGTTTGCCTTTAAGTTCAACTCATGAAAGATTCTCTTTTAGCATAATAGCACTGGTTGAAGAGAAAATATATACTTATATGTCAAACTGTACCTGCAAGGTCTCAGCTAGCAGCATCTCCACCCTGCGACATGCAAGTGTATCCACCATGCGAGCCAGAACCCTGAAGGGTGTGCTTAGCAGCTTGTCAACATACAACATCAGCAGGGAGCCAGACTGACTCAGGTGAATGCCTTCTAAACACTGCAGAGTCTTTTTTAACATGGTAGGCTGCAAAGGAGAAGATTACGTTAGTAAGGCAGACAAGTGATTATGGAAAGAAAGGAAAGGAGAAAGGAGTTGAGGAAAAATGGGAGGCAATTCATGACAAACTGGGATAAAAACAATAGTTGACCAAAACATATATAAAAGTATAAATTCAAAAGAAAGCCAAATATTCAGAAATGAGGAATACTGGGCTACCTGCATTAGAATAGGTACTTGAAACATTTCAAGTTAAAAAGAAAACAAAAAGACACATAATGCATTCTTTTAATAATCCCTCATAGAACATGCCACTAAATGCATTAAAAAAAAAACTCTCTCCATCTCTTTTTGAACAGACAGAAAAAAGGGAGTAATCTCACAGTAGAGAGGTTGTCACAGCGGGATTGGATTGCCTGGATGAAAAGACCACTGGCAGCTGAGTTGCGGTGCACAGCACTGACGAAATCCTGCACTGGAGGCTCATGGGAAAGGCTGATGAGGTCACGCACATGGTTGACAATCAGCCACGTCAGATGTTCTGAGTCATGGAGGTTCTGACACTACAGGAGAAGAAAAATATTAAATTAACTCCCTACTTTTTGCATGGCGTATTTTATTCTTTTACAAACATTTTTGTTCATGTTCACTATTTCCGACATTCTTGAGAGTCTCACCACATAGTCACAGAAGAGGATGAGGGCTCCCCTGCGTACAATCTCTCTGTTGACCATGGCTAAACGAGCCTCAGGCTTGTCCTCTTCTCCTTCCCCCGAGGAATGAGGACTCAGCAGCTTCGTACATGACAGGCTTTGTCTCCTTAGGGAAGAAGAGGGATGGAGATAGAGCTGATTGTTAAATTTAAGTCATTGTCAAAACTTTTGTATAGTATTGAATCTTGCCTACTTTTGCATTGACCAATTTAACAGATTAGTGTTTTTTTTAATTTTCACTTAGTAACAAACTGCTCACAAGACCAAAACTGGTATAGAATAAAAAATAACACCTACTGATATTGTTTGTGATAGGGTAAACTTATCTGATACTCTGTAATACTTTCCACATCACTTTAAGATGGACGTCCGTTTATTTTCATTAATTGGGTATTTTCTGAGTATTCCCCTGTTTTATTGTAGTTAGCTCGAAACAAATAAATCTGACATCTATTGTTACCTGGGTGTTTGGTGCACCTCTGCCCACCAGGAGTAGTTGGTGTAGTTGATGATGAGGAGAACCTGACACCACAGCAGCACTAGGGAGGGGTGGGTGGTGATCAAGCACTGCACCATGCTGTTGAGACCCTCCAAGGGGTAAAAAAGGTTTGCCTCAGTGCTAGTCTGTCCGCATCCACTCTCGTCCTTCAGGAGACGGCTAGCTGCAGCTGTGATCCTGCGAAACATTCCTGTAATAGAGAAAAATGAAATGAGAAAAAGGACTGCCACTTTAAGAAATTTGGCAAACATTTAATGTGCACCACTTACAAAAGCCTACAGGCCACACTTGTTCTATATATAGAATACATTTTATCCTCATTGATCTATGCACACTGCTTATGTAAATACTGTACAAAAACTCTACCTCAAGTAAATGAATCATCTTTTACATAATAGCATATATTTCATCTCGGCATTTTTTGCACTACTATTATCTTATTTAGTCTTGTATATATTAGTCTTTTTGCTTATATTATGTTAATATTTAATGTTATTCTTTTGCACATTGAGAGCATAGTGACCGAAGACAAATTCCTTGTGTGTGTCTAAGCATACGTGGTCAATAAAGCTGATTCATGAAAGAAAAATGACTGATATAAGCTCACCACTTTTGAAGACATGTATGAGACACATGAGTAGTGTCCCCAGCTGCTGGCAATAAAAGGTGTGTTGCTGCTCTGTAATGTCCACCTTAATCTGTCTGGAGGAAATGTCATCCAACAACACTCCTACAAGCTGGAGCAGAAACCTAGGAGGAGATCGAGTATATATATATTTTAATCAGAAAAAGAAATGGAACAATGAAGGCAATAGATAGGACAAAGGTAACAGATACAAAATAACAGCCTGGTATGGCCACTTGTCTTTCCAGTTCAGATACCAGATAACTTGTCTTGTGCAGACTGCCATAAGAATCATGGGTGTTAAAAAATATCAATTTCTCAAAATACTCTATTGTCTGTGCCTGTCTGTTAACAGACTGCTCATAGTGTATGAATCCGACTCACATTCTTCACTCAGAGTTTCAACTTTTACTCTCTAGGATAAGATTCAGGGTCCCTCAGACCAGGCTGAATTACAACCAAGATTCATTATTGATTCTGTGCATTACATTTCTGAATAACAGGTTATGTAGAATGTGCCGAGGGTCTACAATATGCCTATATTTCACTGCCATCAGAAGGTGTTCTTAAACTACAGACAGCTAGGACTCTCACTAACCTGGCAAAGGTTTCCTCAGGTGGAGCTTTTTGTGTCTCATCCTTAGACTCCTGGTTACAGAGAGTATCAATAGTGGTTTGTTCATTTTGGGAAGGGCTCTGCTGATGGAGGCGATGGATTGTGTGGCAGGAGAGGAGATGCGGAGAGAGAGAAAGTTCATGGATCCGGGAGAGGACAATGTCCTCAGTGGACTGGGAGATGAGTACTCGGAGCACCGCGAGGATACCAGACACCCACAGTTGGACTGTAGTTACTGATGCCTGGAGGAGTGGAGTTTGACATTTATATTTTGCAATCACTTCACAGCTTGTCTGCTTTATTTCAAGGTGCATCACATAAAGAAGTCAGAAAGTTGCTAGAACATGTTTTGTTATCACATGGGACATCTCACCATGCTTGCCGGGGTGGTGAACATACTCTTGAGTAGCATGTCCACTGGTCTCAGAGAGGAGGGGGCCACGGTCTCAAACAAAGTGTTTAACACTCCCAGCGCCTCCGGAGAGTCAAGGTGCATCTGAGGAACAACACAAACAAAGGAAGGCTGTAACCAGTCCAGTCAAAGACATTGGTTGGCGTTCATATCAGTTGTTGTTTAAACCAAATATATTTTGCATTTTAAACAACTAAAATCTGGAGGCCTGATATAAAGCAAACATGTGGCTGCATAAGGATGAAAAGGATTAATGGGTTCAGGTGGCTAAGATGACTAAAGGTTCTGTGATACCTGCAGAAAAGAACATATGTAACAGATTGATTTACAGATGTATTCAGGATGTAATGAGGTTTGAAAAAAGGAACCGAATGATCACAAAGCAGGTAAAGCCCCATCACGGCTTTAGGGTTGGTTAAGCAGCACACATATTATATGGTGTTGACATGAAGTCTTGTTTGTTCTTTTGTTGATTTAATATTATTGTGATTTTTTTTTTTTTATATCTCCGCAAAAACTTTTAGTTTGCATCAACTTTGGCGGCCCCTGTGGAGAAAGCAGTACCTCTCATGTCTTTGCTGATCTTTTTTTTTTTCATGTCTTAGCAGGGATTTCTAGGGAAGAATCTCCTTCAGCTTTCTTTTAACAAATGTATCTCTCACTGTTGATTATTGTTTTGCTCATGAAAAATGTCAACCAAGGTTGTTTCTGCAGCATGCTGTTCACTCACTTCATCTGATTTCAATCAGGCAGTAATAGTTAAAGGCTTTAAATGTACTATATAGAAATTAACAGATGTGTCACTGACAGTCTCTGTGGCTTTTGTAAGTCACAACGAGTCATCAATATTATTTTCAGTCTTTTTTTACATTTAGTTAAAAACACCACACAGGATATACACCTCAAGGCATTTTCCTTCCTGCTGCTGATGCAATAGTTTGGACTTCAAGCTAGAAACTTGCAACATTTTAAAGTATCACATCACTAAACCACATTTGTAAAACACACATTAAACCTGTCCTTGATTCATCTTAAAGTCAGTTTAGATATGACAAGATGAAATCCAACTGTTGCATTGGTGTACACGTGTATAAAGATGTATGGAGCCATCGCACAGGGAAACCAAAACCTTTACAGTCCCTGTCGGCAGGAACCAGCCTCAATCTGTGTGGAGTCGCACTGATTGCAGCACACTGCTCAGTGCTGGAACCTTAAAGACTGCCACACACAATGAATGTGACATTACAGAAATCAAATCCAGATTAATAACAAACACACAATACTGACCTGTTGTACACAAACAGTAGCCATTATCATGTAGTCTCGGTGGCTTTTGTAAGTCACAACGAGTCTTCAATATCATTTTCAGTCTTTTTTTATAAATAGCTAAAAACTCCACACAGGATATACACCTAAAGGCATTTTCATACCTGCTGCTTAGCAATCAATGGAAGTATCACATCAGCAATCTGCCTGGACAATCGCTTCCACTTGTCTTCATTCTCTTTGTGACACTGCTGCAGCACAAGGATAAACATCTCCAGCACCTACAATGCATGCCAAAGCAGATGTCAGACAGATGAAACATTCATGGGATTCACATGTTGTGTTTGTTTAAATATGTGACCTTACCTGATGGTATTGCACAAGTCTAAGCAGCATGGAGACCACCACTTCTTTCTGTGTGTCCAGCTCTTTGCCTGCATCTGCTTTGTTTGAGCCCCTCAAAACAAACAAGTCATGCACTATGGGCTGCAAGGCTGGAATGGCTAGGAAGAACACAAGAAAGTAAAATTGTAAACAATATTTTTTTTTCCTCCAAATTTTAGTACATGTGAACCTCCTTCATTAAAAAGATAAAAAAAACAAGCATGCTGGTCTAATAAAGGCTAAATGCCATTTGTTTGTATTTGTTAGTAGAAGTCAAATTGAGGAATTTAAATAAAGAATAAAGTCAATTGAAAAATGGTTTACAGGTAGAAAATATAATTTAGTATGATTGCGTGTGTCCCTCTCACCATGTGTGACAGCTTTCCTGCCACTCGCCATAATGCCATCACACAGCTGGATGATCTTTGGGATGCTGATTATTTGCTTAGAATGGTAACGCTCATAAGACAGCAACACCAGGAAGAAAAAGATGTTGGGAATGATCGCCTCGGAATCTCTGCCAAGAGAACCAAAAGACATAATTTGAAAATTTTAACTTATCTACAGTTAAGCAAGGCTTACACATTCATGTAACGAACTCCAACAGGCCTAAGAGATGAACGGCTTTCTGACAACACATATCTTTTTTTACTGAAGTAAAAGGAAAATAAAACCTACCTGAATTGGCCAACCTCAATGTACTCAAACTGCTTCAGGACAAACCCTATGAACACCTGGAACATAAACAAAACATTTACCTGAGTGAGCAAAATTTAAGATTTAAACAATAAACTCGGGCAAAAGCAATGTTTTTTTTTTCTTTGTTTGTTTATTTGGTTTACCTGATCTGAGTCCAGCAGACAATAGTTGACTCTGAGCTGCACAAGTTGGGCCAGCAGGTCCAGTACTTGTCTCTGCAGGGTCACAGAAGTGCTTGTAGTGTACTGCTTCAAAGCTTTGATCACCAGAGGCTCAAAGAGACGAATGTGGTTGTGGATGGCATTCTGGAGAAACATAAAAAAAGCTATCAGAACAAGAGCAACTTACTCAGACAGATTAGTGATGAAATTTATGATGAATAAAAACCAAGTGTTTGGTCTACAGTCATTCCCAAACACAATGCTGAAGCCCACTTTGCAATAGTTGGGTGGGTCCTGGAATTATTATTTTTTACAATCAGATAAATGTAATCAACACTTTAGACCAAGATTACATTTTTCCTCAGAGTCTGGAGGGGGGGGATACAAAGGCAATGAAATGCAAATGAATAATTAATCCAAATACAGTTAAAATGTGATAACAAAATAAAAAAAGACATTTGAAAAGTAAATTCTTAAGTTCCAAAACAAAGTAAATATTCTGTTGTAAAAGACCACTCACTGGACATGGCCCGGACTTAGAGAATCACAGATGTAAAATACTCATTTAACTTGTAAAGAAGTTTTTTTTAAAGTTTACCTTGTCTCCTCTGTGGCGTGTTGCATTTGCAATGTTGGACCTAAGCTGGTTTGAAGCTTTTTGCATTACATCAAACCATCTAGAAGTGGAGAAAGGAGTCAGGGTTAGTCATGTTTTATTCTGTGTTCTGTGCATTTCTCTTGAATAAAATCAGCAGAAGCATGTGACTCAGTGAGATGTACAACTGTCCTCTGTTGACAGGTTTCAGTCTTTCCAGAGTGTAGGAATATACATCATTTTGTGCCTTGGGTGTGTGTCCTTGAGGATTAAAGGGATACTTCACCGTTGAAACATGAATCTGTATTGACATTGGGTCATATATGTTGTGGAAATGTGAAATATATTTTGAAGTTGGTGCCTTCTTGACCGAGAAAAGGCAGAAAGTGTATTTTTGGCTTATGTTGATGAAAGACACCAACTCCCAGAATGCACAGCACAGCAGGCCACTCCCACTAAGGTCCTCGATTTCAGAATCAGAAATACTTTATTAATCCCAGAGGGAAATTCGATCGTTACAGTTTCTCCAAAATATACAATATAGCAGTAGAAATATAGTAATAAAACATTTACAGACATATTTACTTCAACACATAATGCTGTTTCCTCAACTGATTCAGAGATTTCTTCCAGAATTGATCTTGGAAATTCCTGCAGAAAACAGACTCTATGTCTGTGTTCATCCAGTTTGTCCGCCCCAGCTCAAGCCGGCCCCGGCTCCTCTTCCTCACCGCCGCTGACAGGCAGGCCTTAAGACTCGGCTGCTGAGCTGGCAGCAGCCGGCGTCGGCCAGCCATGTAGCAATATAGCTGCGAGACGGTTACTGCCAACAGGCCAGTCTTGTGTCGCTAGCGGCCAGCGATGGCACAAGACCGGCCTGTCAGCAGCAGCCGTCTCACCGCAATATTTATATTTTTTCACCATTATCAGCTTTCTCCATAGAGCTTGTTAGCATAGCTTCTAAGCAATATGGCGGATGTTAAGTTTCGATTCTGGGGGTGAGTTCCCACCCACTGATCTGTGATTGGTGTGTAGCTTCAGTGGTCGAAAATATGAGGAACTAGCGTTGTAGTTTCACCCCTCTAACCGCAACAGCTTCCAGTGACGCAAAAATCGTAATTTTGCATCACTGGAAGCTCCTTTTCAGACTGAGGGCGGGATGCACGAACATTCAAAAATACTACCAGGTTTCTAATGATACAAAGCTTAATGCAAATGGGTGAAGTATCCCTTTAAGTATTTAACCTATTGTAGTTTTGTTTGTAACGTAATTTGTCAATTTCTGTGAAATCTGATAATACTTTGAGTTTTTATTGTTTAACCTGGACAGGCACAGCTAACATCAATAAGCAGAAAAAATACTGTTAATAAACCACTAAATAATGCAAGTGCACTTATTAAAGTTCTTGTCTTAAACCTGTGTGTAGCTACAACTCACCCGGAAGTGTCTTGCTCCGCTTCAGCCTGCACCATGTTGCGCAGACTCGCATCAGCAAGAGCCTGAGTAAAGTGAGTGTATGGTGCCATGAAGCAGTAGTGGTAGAGGCCTGGTCGCAGATTGGACGAGCCTAGGCGGAGAGCCTTGCCCTGGGATCGGCTTGGTCCACTCAGGACGCCCTCGTACTGGGAAGCCAAGTTGGTGCCAAACAGAGTCTTCAGCAGCTAAAGAAAGAGAAGTGATCAGTTGCTAGAAAATCTAAATGCAAAAGTTTGGACTTCAAGCTAGTGTAGATGTAACTTGCAACATTTTGAAGTATCACATCACTAAACCACATTTGTAAAACACACATTAAACCTGTTCTTGATTCATCTTAAAGTCAGCTTAGATATGATAAGATGAAATCCAACTGTTGCATTGGTGTACACGTGTATAAAGATGTATGGAGCCATCGCACAGGGAAACCAAAACCTTTACAGTCCCTGTCGGCAGGAACCAGCCTCAATCTGTGTGGAGTCGCACTGATTGCAGCACACTGCTCAGTGCTGGAACCTTAAAGACTGCCACACACAATGAATGTGACATTACAGAAATCAAATCCAGATTAATAACAAACACACAATACTGACCTGTTGTACACAAACAGTAGCCATTGTTGGTTCTCTGGAGAAACAGGACTTTAGGTAGCCCAAGATTTCCTCAACACACTGTAATAAAACATTTCATAACATTAAGGGAAATAAATTGTCTTTTTTCCTCTGCTAGCATGAAAAGTTATACATCGATTTATTAGAATGAAAAATAATATTTTGCTTCAATCCAGTCCAATCCTACAGCACATCTCCTACTTTCTGCTCACTCTTAAAACACTTAACCAGTGTCTGAGTGTAAATACAGTCATTGTTATCCTGACCTTGCTGATGTCATGTAGTGTGGCCAGCTCCAGGAGCTGAGACAGAACATCTAAGGTGGAGCGCAGGAAACCTCCAAACTTCTCCTGGCTACTGTGGAGGTCCAGTGATACCTAGATTACAAACACAGGTCATATAATTCCAAAAACATTTAGACTACTTTAACTCCAAAAGGCACTTTCGTAAAATAAATGCACGTTCTGACCTTATAGTTGGCATGAGTAGCTTTGAGGACATCGTACAGCTTGAGATAGGGTGGAAGATGGTAGAAGTTGCCAAGGTGGTTGATTTGTTTACAGCTGTTGACCCTGTGTTGTCTGCTGGCCTACCTGCTCACAAAAAGCACAAAGTTAAATGTTTTTAAAATTCACAGACACTTCAGTTTTTTTCATCTTTACTTGCACAGGTGTCTGTAAGATGTGCATGTACCTGTGTTGACCTCACTGCTTTTCTTTGGGCTCATAGGGGCAGCACTAGGCTCAGCAGAATCCTTGTCCTTGCCTTTTCTCCGAATGGGACTGAGTGAGGGAGTGTTGCTCAGGGATGGAAGGGTGGCCTTAAAGAGGGTTACAAAGAGCAAACTAAAAACAACTGCCAGCTTTATAATTAAAGGCAGATAAATGGTATCATTATTTAGTACAAATAACCATATTGAAAACAAGCCAATCAAAGCAAAACAAAGGCTATGAACAGTTACCTTAACAGCTGGTCCAGGTGGTGTGTCATCCATGACATGGGTGCAAATGTTGAGGACTTTCAGCAGGTGGGAGAAGAGCTGCTCCACCATTGCTACCAAGGAGCGCTCAGACAGCCCTGCCCAGGGTTCCTCCATCTTATTCGGGCCTCCACTGGTGTTTGTGCTGCCACTGCTGCCTTCTTCATCTCCAGCCCAGGGGTTGCGCATGCATTTAGGAGCCACAGCTAGGAGCAATATTAATAACTCGTTAATCTTCTACAAGTTGTTGTATTTTTCCTAAAGTTTCGGAACAGCAGGGTCATGTAAAATTCCTAAGCATAATACCAACCCGCAAGCAGATTGCCAGAAAGCACAAGTGCATCCTGGTGTGAAGAAAGATCTAGTGGAAACCAGGCAGATGACAGTAAGGAGAGGGCCATGTTGGCCATTCCCACTGTCAGAGTTCTCCGCTCAGTGTCTGCAGCAGATGAGGAAGTGGTTGAAGTGGCTGGTGCACTGTTGAGCCCGGAAGGAAAGGACAGAAGAGAACTTGGTGTGCATAGAGATTGAGGAATTTAAATAGATAGCAGGAGTAGTGAGTTGTCACCTGACATGGAGTATTTGTGGGAGATTATTTCAGTAAGCCGGCACTAAATGTAAAAAAAGATCAATTCTAGAGAGCGGTAAGACATACCTGAAAGCTCTTCCCCTGCTGCGGTTGAGACTAGAGCGAGAAGAAAAACCACCACTGGAGCTAACATAGCCACAGAACCAGCCTGTGTTCCAAGTGCAGGGTGGAAACTTTGTGGTCAATAGGCACAATGCCTCACAGCAGCCAAACTGCAGAGAAAAAGACAGGAGATGTTTTAGGAACATTTAGAAGAAAATACACAAAAACAAATGGCAGAAAGGTTTTGCATACAGTATGTGTTATGTAAGCAAGCTCACAGTAAGCGCTCTGGAGGTCGAGGAGGTAAAAGCATGGGAGATGGCAGTAACCACTCTGGACAAATTATTCTCCAATGTGACATCAGCCACATTGTTGGACAAGTTGAAGCCTCTGTATGTCCTGGAAAACAGAGAAAAGAGCAAAGCTGAGTACATTGATTATGTAAAAGATTGTGTTTTGTGAGTTTGTCTTTGAAATTTTAAGTGTTTAATGCCAAAAGTTATAAAGTATATTTCTTCAAGAGGAGACGGCTGTGACCAGTACCTTGTGATTGTGCTAACTGTCAGCTGAGAGGGAGGTTGGGTCTCATGCATCAACAGCTGCAGGTAGACTGAGCTTTGGTCCCGGGCAATTGCCACCACTGGGTCGACTTGACCCTGGTCACATTCAAAGAACAACCTTGGAACCAGCCTGATGAGAGGCATAGTGATGGGGCAAATTAAGGTTAAGGGGAAATGAAAAGGGTGACATTACAAGTAGCCAATTAGCAGAAACAAATGCTTAGATAAACTTCTAGACAAGATGTGTGTCTGGCAAAAACTGAATAGAAGAGAAAAGTTGCACCTGCTGACAGCTGAGGCTGCCACGTGCCGAACTCTTGGGTCATCATCTCCCAGCAGATTGATGACCACGTCATTTAAGACTCGTTCCTGGAGCCTCAGCCGCTGAATAGAGAGGACAAAAAGGATACCTAAGCACCACTCTCATAAAATCAAGTTTAAAGATTCTCAAAAATACAACATCCATGTCAAACACGTTTATTTTCCCCTGCTTATGTCTACAAATCATATTTTCCCCGGGCACTTTCTGAGGCAATATCAAAGGTGCTGGTTGGAATGTGGATGAAATGTTATATTGAAAGTTTGGGATTGAAAATGTGTGCATTACTGCAAAACTCAACACTTAACCATATGTCAATGTCACTGTCCATTCTACCCTGACTTGTGAATTTGACCCTTAGACAATTGAACTAAAACCAAGCTAAGGGCAATGATTTAAAACATTTAAATGAATCCAAGAGAAACACAACGAGTGTGTGCGCTCACACAAGTTCAAAAGTTGATTGATTTCACTCAGTTGAAGAACTTGGAACTCTGCACGCAGCAGACTGCGGTGCGCAGCGCTGAAGGATAAGTTCGCTTCACGTCTGTTTAGAATCATTTAATCATTTTAAAACGCCTGACACCAAATTACCAGATGACAGTGTTTGCATCAAACTCACTCTGTATGTTTGTGACAACATATTTACGAGAGCAGACATGTGATGAACACTCCAATCAAGTCCTTATCAAGTCTAAACTGAACTGTTGTCTGACACACTCACAAATCAGAATGACATGAAAACCCAACTGTTTAGAAAGCAGTCTCTGTTGTGGACAGACTGTTAAATAACCAAAAGTGTCAGCCAGCAATTGGAAATGTTTTTTCTCCACTATAAGTTCTCCTTTATTTGTAACCGCAAATCAAAGTTCCTCTCTCTCTGTTGTCAAAGCACTGACCCCAGAGTGTCAGATCAGACTCTCTCAACAACGATATTAAATATGTATCAGTGAGTAATCACAAGGGTAAAGTAATCCATTTCACAAAGATATTTTAATACTAAATATATGTATGTCCTTTTCTTCAGTTCTGTTGTACGTTTTATTATTTTCATGAGCCATCATATCATTTTACATTTGTATGTGTTAAACGTGCAGTTCTCTTCTCACTGATCGGTGCATGTACCTTATTTTGAATGATTAAACATAATTTAATCACACAGCAGCCTATGTTGAGTCATAGTGACGTAGGTAAAAATTAAAAAAAATCATTGAAAGTAAATGGGTTCTGAGAAGGCAGTCAAAGAAATATCCAACAATACAGGGAAAGCTGCACATTTCCACAGCAATACTAAAAGAAAGGAAGTATGAGAACTTACCCCAGTGTAGTGATGATCCCCTTTGTGCAAAGTCTCCGTTTTCATCTCTAAGAAATTGAGTAACCTAAAAAGGAAAGAGTGAATATTCTTAAGAGGCATCACAGGTTTTATACTTCAGTTTAGGAAATCAAGTAAAATAAAGTGCAGGGTTAACTGTGGTGAACAAATACCCAAGTATGTAGCTAGTTTATATGGAAGGAAAATGATGAGCCTACCGGAAGTCCATCTCAGCCAGGGTCTCCAAGAGCTCTGTGCGAACAAGCCAATAGGAGGAGTCCCTCAAAGCAAGCAGGTCTATCACCAACTGCAGACCAAGCTCACTCAGGGTACTGCTGCACACAGTCATGAGGCATTGCTGAAACACAAAAGAGGTTAGACTCAAACGCTCATTGAATAAAGATTACAGACACACTTGTGCAGATCAGTCTCACCCTCACTGCTGAGCAGGCCATCTTGCAGGTGACAGATGATTCATCTTTCAGGGTTTTCTGGAGCAAAGGAACCAAGTCCACCAGGGACAGGGGGTTACCTAGGTCGCAACAGGACAGGCAGGTGAGAAAGAACCATTAAAACATTCCCAGCTTTAAATTGTCCGTGCTTACACAAACCTACCTGTTGCACTTTGCACACTGGCCAGCCAGGTGTGTATGTTGAAACGGGTTTTGGTGAGTGCTGCCTGAATAATGGCTGCAGAGAGGATGGCTGTGGCCCCTCTGATCTGGGGGTCCCCGTGGTCAATAAGGCCCAGTATGTCACTGACATACTGCTGCTCTGCAAGGAGACAGATATTGAAAACAGTGTCAGAGAAAGTGAAGACAGACAAAAGAAATCATCATGAATGCATTCTATATGCATTGATATTTGTGAAAAAAGCCTTTTGAAAGATTTATGCAGTGGAGTTATCTATCAAAGTATTTGACATATCAAATTAAATAAATAATAAATGAGTTTTAATAAAAAAAATATGCCTGTATTTAATAAAACTATTTTGGGTTTTGGGAGGACATTGTGCATACTGGATCCAACATTTCAGCTTCCAGCTAAATGAAAAAGAAGAACCAGCTCATTTAGATGATGCAATTTGTAAAATCTGTGCCAAAAAGATCAGTGTGAAATGAGGAAACACATCTAGTTTGAGCTCTCACTTTGCATATAGTATCTACGCAGTGGCAATCAGTGACACAAACATTCAAGCCATGGTACAGAGTGCATGGCAGCAGACACTGCACAGCGTCGGGTGCTGAAATACAGCAACAGTTACAACCACGAGAGTTTGTTTTTGATAGGGTATGATAGGGCTACAGAATAGATAACGACAGGCTTAGTACTTACGTACTTGTAATGTAAATAATAATGTGAAACTGGGCTTCTCTCTCTCGTCAGGTTTTTAAAAAACAAACTGTCTTATGTCTTAAAATGATAAAATAAGTAAAAGTCACAATCAACAGCCCTACTTTTCTCTTGATCTACTAGTTTTAGATTTGTATTTGAATAACATTTACATTTTTTGTTTTATTGTAACAGTTTTTTTTTAGAGTGGATTATGACCTAAAAGGTTCAGGTCCACTCCCAGCCCTCCAAATATTGTATGAAATGTTTCTGTTAGATTGCAAATAAAGCCTTTAACTCAGTAATTATTTATCTCACAATAACCATAATAATGCCATACACTTTGCCCCGGTCATCTGAATAAGGGTTTTTGGTTTCAAAACTTACCTGCTACTGGTGTGCCGTCCAGCGGCTCCAGGTAGAGGGAATTAAAGAACGCTTCTGGATGCAGCGCTGCTGCTGCCCCAACACAACTGACAGCCAGAGCTTTTACACTCACTCGCACCTCCTTGTCGGGGGTAAGTCCTGCAAACACATAAACAACAGTTATTGACACACTATGACATGTACACATAAAGGCGTTTGATTAAAAACAAACTATTAGGGGCAATTGTGGATGCAAAGAAGCATATCGTTTGGTTTAAAGGTGAAAAAGAAACAACATTTATGTACAACATACATGGAGTATTTTATGGTTTGTTGAAAAGCTTTTGATAAACTGAATTTCTGATTTGAAAGTGTATCAACAAGGAAGGAAGGAGAATTTAATGCAGTTTGGGATTTTAACTGTTGGCTCAACTTTAGTTGAAATAATAGGCAAGGGTCTTGTTGTTATGAATCTGATTTTAATGTTGATTAAAACCGATTTAAAAAAAAAGTAAGTATATAAAAATATTTGTTTATATTTTTAAATGGCGAAATCATGTAAAAAAAATAATTAAAAAAACTTTCAAATGAACAAGGTGCAGACGGGAGTGTGAAAGCATTCATTAAATGCAAGGCTTATAATTAAAACAAAACAAAAATGTGACTGTGTGTGATTGTATTTCTTCCATTCTCTTAGTCAAATACAGGACTGTCGACCAGATGACAGTTGTTTGTGTTGTAAAAATGTTAATCCTAGTTTGATTAGCTTTAAGCACAAAAATGACTTTTTTAGGTTTAGGAATTAGAAACTGTTGTTTGAACATCAATTGAACAAAATGTGGTTTGGGTATTCATTGAGCAATAATCTAATCTAAGTCTAATAACACTTACCATTCTTCTGTCCTGTCAGCAAGAAGGAAGCAGCGAGAAGCCGTACACAGTGCACAAGCGGCTCCACCCCCTGGTCTGTATAATGTCCAATTGGACCCTTAATCCGCGAAGGCTATGAAGCAGGCAGAGGAATTAGAGACAGATATAGGACAGTTCTTGCTTCCTTAACCTTAGAGTGGCACAGAAGTCTCTTATGTGGGTGTATCTACCTTGTTGTCAGGTTCAGGTTCAGCAGGTTCATCCTTGGGTATAAGGTGGTCCACACTGCTGTCTGAACCCTGCCTGTTGTGGCCTCTGCCTTCAAAGAGATGAGGCTTGCTCAGAGCTGGACACAAACGAGAATACATTAGGCATAAGGAACATTTTAAATCAATAAACAAAACAGAATCAGTCGTTCTATTCATGTGTTCATATATGAATAATCTAACACACCCAGTGCTGACTGCAGGAATGGTTCTGAGGGTTCTTCTTGGGAGGAAGGTGCAACTCCTTCATCTTCTTCATCCTGTAATGTTCCGATCTGCATCCCAGAGTACTGGCTCTCACTGCCATCCAGCACCTTTTTACATAGACACACATGACAAACATCTCTCGAGGGGAACTCAAATTGATTTACAGAAACAACAAATACATCAATTTAAAATGCAACTACATGCAAATGATACAGCACTGTTTCATTTATCACCTAGTTAGATTTGCTGGCTCAAGAGGGAAGACAATGCATACCAAACAATGGCAGAAGTTGTGAGTCAAACAAATGCCCCCTTCTAAAATCTACAGAATCATGCTTTTTTTAGTACATTTACAGCAAATCAACTTCAAACAGTAAGCACAAATGTGAGAACACTACAATATTGGTTGCAATAGAGGAGCAAGCTCTTGATCCAAACTTCAATTTCTGAATAAATTCCTCTTTGATCAAGTAAACTTGCGGAAGGTACATACATGATGTTTTGCAGAGAACTTATTTTTCCAAGCCAGTTGTATTAAGTATTCTTAATAGAAGAATGTAATTAGATTTGGCCTCATGTGGAACAAATATCTTTCACAGACTCTTGAAAGGTAAAGGAAACCAAATCTGGACGGGTAAAAAAAACAAGAGGAATAGGTGGAATTCATGCTTCTACTTCTTCCTGTAAACAAGGTCCTTCGAGCCAAGGTCCTTAAAAGCATCACAGGGGAAACAAGGAAAGGAGGAAGGGGCATGACGTACTACAAATGGACGCAAGAGAGGGGAAGTAGCAATCGGCAGGGCAAATTCTGTGTCACGGACAAGTGAATGAAAAGAAGAACGAATGAAGAAAGAAAGCCAGGTTCAAGCAAGCCCCTCTAACTTGTTTCAAAATGTCCAACTGTCTGACCTTGTCACTAGAGCTAGAAGAGGACATGGCATAGAAGGAGGAGGAGAAAGAGAAAGACGATGACGAAGAGGAAGAGGACGCTGTGTAGACAGATGAGTCGCTGTCTGTGGCATCAGGACCCTCAGTGGAAGGTGGCGAGGGGGTGGAAGGCTCATTCACCCGCGGCAATGGAGTTTGAGACTATGCCGGGTTTGGGAGAAGGACAAAGCAGAAGGGGCAGGACCATACAGGTGGAATTGTTAGTATGGCAATCGCGTATTTAAAGGCCTCTGATTGGGAGCACGTTAATATTAACTGCCAAGATTTGAAACATGACCACACAAGTAGATTGCATGTTGTACTCCATTTAACCCTTTGAATGTATTAAAAGATGACTGATATCCATTACCCAGAGCATTTAGATATATTGTCGTTTCACCTGAAACACTCATCACTTTCTATCCTATGGTTTCTAGTCTTGTTATAATTTATACCCTATAATTGTGTTGGTACTCAACATGGAATTTTTCTCAGATACTTCTATTATTGAAGTTATATCATAAAGCAAATACTAAATTAATGTCTATACATTAGGATAACAGCACCATTTGAAGTTGTTTACAGTAATTTTAGTTAAATTTACTTTTTGGTTAACGACTTAAACACCTTCTCATATATAGAAGTTTGACGCTCAAACAACTAGAATGAAAGGGTTTTCCCATCCAATAAAGTGAAATTCAAAAGAAGTGCAACATTATTCATCTACAGAGAACTATGCCATTAAGGTTATTAGCGTTCATTAACTATAACTAATGTTAATAAATAGTTATGTTTTTCATTGTCTACCTACATCTGCTATCAAACTCTATTCTCTAAACATATTTTATCTGACGTTCATGCTCATAATCACACTGACCAGTTCTGCTACGTCTGAAGGAGTGACAGCTGAATCCGGTCCCTCAGTGGTGGTCTGGGAGGAGTCACTGGGCGGAAGCGAGCGGTCATTAGTACCGAGCAAAGTCCCGCCTGCTCCTAAGGGCCCTCCCTCAGGGGTAGCATTCTCTGGTGTGGTGTAGTCAGCCGTCTCTGGAGTGATGTTGGCACCGCCGCTAGAGCTCCGACTCAGCATTTCCTCCTCATTGTCGTTGGGTGACTCTGGAGTGTCTGATGCAGATGTCCCGCCTCCTTGCTCAGAGATGCACTGAGGTCCACAGATTCACCAGGTTGCAAGGTATGCTGTGAGCGTGGCTGCTCAGTGATGATGTCCACCTGCGCCGGGGAGGAGCCATCTGCCCCAACAACAGATGCTGGAGACATTCACAGAGCATGTTTTTACTGCTTGAAGTGGCCTGACTATCTTGTTTAAGAAATATTGAAGATTAGATTGTTGACAAATCAATCCAAGTGGGTGCTTCCTACCTGTAAAGGAACCAGTAGTGACCTCTGTTTTCTCCGCATCATCTTCCAGCCCATCCTCATCCCCAGAAAGGATTTTACCTGGAAACAGCAGGTTAAATGTGAACAAAACATCAACACTAAGACTTGTTTAAGAGAGGAAAAGAGACTAAATCCTGTGTGGCACAAATTGACCTTCAACTGAGTGCATTGAAAATAACAACAGAGTTGTGAGCTTCTACACATCAGGACAATAATCAACCACCATCAGTGACTCAGTCAGAGGAACATTTGGCCAAATCCTTTAACATCAGATAACGGGCTTTGTTGACCAGAGGAGATAAATAGACAAGTCACCTCTCTGTTTCCTGAGTAGGAGCGGACTGCAGGAGGACCCTCCCACTGGCATTGGCAGAAAACAGGAAGTAGAAACAGTAGGTGAGGAAGTGAAAAGCAGCAAGAGCAAAAAAAAAAAAAACAACAACTTGGCAGGGATTATTTACAGAAAACAAGGAATGACAGAGCAAGCAAAGAAAAAAGACCACCAACAGAAATTGAAGCAGAAACCGGAGTAGAGAAACAATGCCACTTAAGTAAAGTCAGTCAGTAAGGGTTAATAAATAAATAGGTAGCTACAGCAGATACAGAGGCTTATCTTCATGACAATGTGTAACACTCTAGCACCCACATTACTTTATGAAGGGGGATAACAAATCAATCATCTTTTACCAATGAGCTCAAGGATGCTGCCAGAGCGCGCGCGGCTCTCGATGTCCTGGCGAAACACAGTCACATGTGAAATGCTGCCAGGGGTGATGAGCATGTGCAGAAGCTCTGGAGAGGGAGTCCTGAACATCTGCTGCAAAAGCTCCAGAGCCGCCGTGACCACATTGTGATCCCAGTGTTGTGTGTAGTGTAGGGTCAGCTCGTACACCTGTAGACACACACACACACACACACACACACACACACACACACACACACACACACACACACACGTAGAAAATTAAGCCATTACTCTATGATGACTCTACGCACCCAGACATCAACACAATTGTTCTCTTCTTTCTACCTGAAGAAGTTGTTCAGGAGTAGGCTGAACATCAGCCTCCTTCCTCATGACTCCAAAGCTTCCTTTGAGGCTGGCTGTGTTAACTTGTTGCTGCAGCAGAGGCATCAGATAGCGAAGGGTTAACAGCACCCCCAGAATTAGGTGACTAGGGTGCTCCTCATCCACTGGGACAAGCAGACCTGGAATGGGAGAGAGGGTCAGGGTGGTTGTGGTCTTGTTCTAGATGCTTATTAGTTTGAAACAAATCTAGCTTGCAAACTTCAGTTGGGGTAAGCTTTATAGATTTAAAAGTGTTTTGTATCCTACCCAGGAGCACATTAAGAAGCCAGGTGTAGAAGTAGCTCGAGCGTCTGGAGTGTTGGCACACACTGACAGCTGAGCTGGCCGCTGTCCGTCTGATGGTGGGGGAACTGGATTTCAGGTTGGCAATAAATGACTTGAGCAGCACCTGGGACACAAATGGATGAGCTCTGATGAAAGAAAGCTTTTAAGAAATGATTTAAGCGCACATCCTCCAATAAGTGCCAACCGAATGTTTCTTACTCTTCAACATGGTATCTTTTATTATCCTACCTCTCAATTTCCATACTTTTTGTTGTTTTGAAAAAAAAAGAAAAATGTACAACTTTCGTTTTGGCACGGTCATGTAGACCTTAAAAACAGATTTTGGCACATTTTGGCCTCAAGCCTTTATCAGCAAGTAACCCAAAGTCTGTATGTATTTTACTTTACTGATGAAGGCTTCATGCTGGAAGACATCAAAGTCTGTTGTTAAGGTCTACAAGACCACACAATGAAAATAAAGACATTTTTACTTTTTTAGGAGTTTTTCTTGTTTAGTCCCTAACTGCTTGATATCTCAATCAAAGAGCACCTCAAATCTACACTTTCTGAGTCCAGGAAGTGCTCCTTCATACATATTTTGAGTTCTACTCATGCTTTGCTTTGTGTGTTTACCTTGACCTCGCCATCATTGGCAAAGTGTCCCAGGGCAGCCATGATCTTAGGCATTGCTGCAGCAAGTGTCTCCTGTACTGTCTCCTCCTGCCTCTTGGTAATTCTGGTGAGGCATGGCAACAAGTTGACCAGGTAGGGTCTGGATCAAAAGAGAAAAAAAGTGGTAAGAATTTGTTCTTTAGACAGTCACCATACCTGATTCATCTTGGAGGCAGACTTTTCCCCTCTTGGTTTGGCATACTTTAACATACATTTTGTTTTCTTGTGAATTCGGTTAAACCACTTTAAGGCATTAATGTGTTTACCTGCATTTCTGTGGTCTGATGAGGTGGGCAAGCTCAGCAAACCTCCACAAAGCTGCCCTTAGACTGCGGGAGGCACCATTCTACAAAGATGCACAAACAATCATTAACATTTCTACTACCGTCATAGTAGTACATTTTCTGCAATCTAGTGTGATGTCTTTAAACACTCTACAAGAAGCACATTTTAGACTGAGGCCCACAGGTATATCTCTGATTACCTTCTTTATTTCTTTGTACAGCTCCAGCTGCAGTCTAGGAAGGTTGGAGTCCATCAGTGCCTGAAGATAAATATAAAAATGATCATTCTGGACAACATGGCTGTTCCACCTGATTTGAAATGAATTCCCATTAACAGAGTCCAATTAAAAGGGGATAACACATTTGGTCACATCAACTACATATTCGTCCTTGCTGGTGGAATATAGGCTCTTGCTCACTTTGATGATTTTGTTCAGGCACTCATCTGCTACCATACGGACATCTGATTCACTGTCATCACTGCAGAGCAGGAACATCTCCATGGCGATGCCGAGCAGTTTCTGGAACTCTGGAGACGTTCTGTTCCCAGCACCATAAAGAAGAAATGTGAGGGAAATGTCATTACACATGCATTTATACTAATATCCATTCATCCATTCATTATTAAAAAGTTAGCTCCTCGGATTGTTAAGTACTGTAGCATGTTTTTCAGGGCCATTCCCTCATACTGTACTCCTGCTTAGCCCTCTCCTATACACATTATTTCGCCCTTATAGACATAGTTTAATCCTGGTGTAGTTAAGTCGTTCAGTTTTCAGAGAACATTTCTCCTATCTCTCCATCATTTCTCTGCTGAAGACACTCTTCAGCCTCTTTAAATCATCCTAACTAGTTTCCCCTGATGAGTTCTCTTAAGGGCCAAGATGCTTCGTGAATAACTTATCCTTAGCAGGATCTAGTCTTAACTTTAAGTGGAAATTCCTATAAACATGTTCTTAGAATTTCATCACTCGAAGCAACTTTTGGTTCTACGAATTTTTATGAATATGTCACATTGTGTCTACTGTCCAGCCAAGGCACTAACACACTCCGTTGATATTCTGTAATCAGTCGCTGTGCAGAAAATCATAAGTGGTCAATTTTATGCTATCTTAATGTAACCCAAATGAAACCTTACTAGCAATAATAACTCTTATGTCATTGTTTTAACACCTCCCCGCTATAAAACTGTTATACAGATTTTTGTATTCAATCATCAGGCCTACCTCAGAGACTGAGCCACAATGTTTTCACATATTGTCAAGCAGTGGGTGACCCTGTCCTTCTTCGTGGTAGCCTGTTCCTTTTTCCTGTAAAGGAGGAAAGATGGGCAGGATTAGAAGGTAAGATGAAACCATGGTAACACTTACTGCTGGACCAGCCGGTTCCATAGCCGTGTCACAGAATGTCAAACAGGAAGAAGCAGACTACAAAAAGGCAATTTCTTCAGGTGTTTTTCCCAGCTTGCATCACAGTCATGACAGTGATACTAGACTAGTGCATGGACAACACTGAAGATGTTTTCCTTAGAATGAAAGGTTAGGCTTCATTTGCTAATCAAAGTAAAGGAAATTCAATAATTCTAAGCACAAATCACTTTGTTGCATTTGCTCATAATATTTCATGCCACACTAGTTTCAACCTGCAACAGAATTCATAGTACTATCTAATAAAATAAAGCCTGGCCTGACTTTGGTGACAGGTGATGGTGATTATGGGATCAGACTTAATATGCTCTCATGTTTTCCAGTTAAAAGGGAAAAGACCCAGGACCTCCCCCCGACCTCCTAAAGGGGTGGGACATTTGCAAAACCCACTTGACACAGGATATTAATCTCCTTTTGCAGCCCACTTTTTCAACGAGCTCTTGTATTATAACAGGAGAGATGCAGAACAATCACTACGAACAGCCAAGTCAGGACAAGAGCTGCGATACTACAGCAGTATGACTGTCACATGTATTTTTTTATAAGCCTGAGAAACCATTCAGAGTCCCATTATGTGGTTAACTTTCCCAAATATCCAAAATAATGCCCATTTGGAAAGTTAGGCAAGTGTTGTAGGATACAGCAGCAGGTCATTACTTACTCACCTACATTTTCTTTCAACACTTTTAAGAGCTTTTGGTTAAATTAGATTCAACTTTAACCAACCTGACTTACACAGCCTGCATGCTTGACATAATCCTTAAGAATCAACATTTCCTGGAAATAGCTAAGATAGCAAATGAATGCCTATTTTCTAGTCTGATAACTAGTTGATTGTCATATCAAAGGCAGATGGTACCAAGAAGGAAGAACTGGCCAGAGGGTGAGCCATTTAGTCCACAAACCAGAGCTGGGTGAGCGAGCAACAAACCTGGCTCAGCAGCCTCAAAGTTACCAAAGCCTGTGAGAGTGATGGAGGCAGGTTTTGTAACAGGGAATTCAACACAAAGTGTTTTTTTTCCCCTGAGGGGTTTGGCTCCTGCCAACCTGGGGCTTACCATGAAGTACAAGGCATCTGAGGTCAGGCGCTGACTGACATCCAACCCACCCTACTCTCCCCATTTCACAACTCTTAACCTTCATGACCCTCTGTGTCCTGACTGTAAACCAACACTGTAACGTCAATATCTGTCATCTTACTGGACTATCATCGTCAGAAAAGGTGTGTTTGCTGACAAGCTGCTGAGCCTACCAACTACAGGAAACATAACCCAACTGGAAAACTTGGACCAGCCTTTTTGATGGACTTCATAATTGTTTACGAGCGAGACAGAATGGTTCCTTTAGATGAGCTAAGTCACAGTGTGCTGGAAGCCGTGGTGCCCTGCCTCTTTGGGGTCCACATCAGCCCTGTACTCCACCAGAGACGAGAAACAGTGGCCGGATGAAAAAAAAGGACATGGCACCTGTTTGAGTCTGATCACTCCTGTTGAAATCAGTATTGGCTTGTCGGAGGATTGTGAGCTCTGTCTTGCCACATTACAACAACTATTGACAGTCACTCCACCCATCTGATTTGACACCTTACCCTTCAGTCTAGTTTGGACAGCTGGAGCATCACACAGCCCAGAAGTACTTTTATCTGCCCTTCTGATCAATTAACTAAACATTACGCTGAGATTTTAAGCGTTGCTTTTCACACATAATTGTTCAGTAGCAGCTTATTGACACTGAATGATTTAACTCAACACTTGACCTCTCTTGCATGTGATTTGATACAATGAGCACGTCTTCTAAAATGATCATAAAAACACATTGTGACCTCAGCTCACACTCACATGTGAACATCAGCGGTGCAAGTGTTTGGACACACTTAAAGCTCAAACATTGAATACGTTTATATCAAAGCTTAATCTTTTACACTTAAAAGATGTATAGCTTTCATGTTAGCTTAACTAGCTTCAAGCCAGGAGACTAAACCTTGGGTCACCCCGGGGGGTGTTATTTGTCTACATGGCACCTTAGGGAGCCAAATAAGAGTGTAACCCAGAGCTGAAGATGATAAACTTACTGTTTCTGGACAAGCTCCTCTGCTGTCGGTGGGCCCTGTTGCTGCTGGAAAGACTTCAGAGACTCAAAGGCCTTCATCAGTTTCTCCATGGTGGCCATTTTATCAATCAACAGTAAGCCAGCTAGCTGTGCGAGCTAATATTTACTATGAGAGCTAAGTAGCTAGCAGAGTGGGAACAAGACAGAGCAAGCGGTGCGTAGTGACGAGACACTGCCCGTGACAACCACCCCGCCTCCCCGCCTCCTGCTCCTGCAATATATCTCTTATATTTCACTAATGGTTTTCCTAAACTGACGAAATGATGGTGGATAAAGAGCCATATTTGTTGCAGCGCTGCGATTCCCCCGGACGAATCTAACCAGGAAGTGGGATGTGTAAGAGGTTGACAGAAGAGGCAGGGCTGTAAAGTCTGCGGCCAATAGGAGTGGACTATCACGTTGAATGACTTGTGAACGAACCAATGAGTGACTACGTTTTTTTTTCTTTCTTTTGTTGTTATTGTTTTCAGTCACGGGATTGCTGAAAGGCAGATTGCAAAAAAAACAAAAAACAATATTTGGCCAATACTGGAAGGATGAGGGTTTACTGTTAACCACATCAATGAGAAAAAAAACACACACAAGGAATAATATGTATTTGACACTCACCTTTATGCTATTATGCTGAAGCTTATTCTACACACCATCTGAAACAGTGGGAGAGAATGAATTTAAATCTGAAACTGACTTCTTCAATAGGTTGCTTTTGGTGGATGAATTTAAATTAATTATTTATCAGTAGACAACATCCTGTCAGTGGTGGATGCAGTAGGACATTTGAAAATTCTGGGTCATTTTATGCATCGTTTTTCCATCAATGCCTTGGCCCCTTCAGGCATCACTGGATCTATTTGTGGTGTCTTGATAGGCCATTCATTCTTCATTCTGGTTTTCCGTAGACTGATGCCCCTACCACGCATACAGATATTGGTTTTGTTCCCATTGCAATAATATATTGATTATCTAGAAACTATTTTTGTTCCTGAAAGCATTTTTCAGCATAGGTTTTAATACATTTTTTCCCCCCATTTTTATCTCCTTAATTGTTTTTCTTCCATCTTTGTTCATGTATTAACAACAAACAATACTTGACAAAAATAAGACAAGATACAAGTATTTTTTTTTTATACAAATGGCAGTGTATTATTTTATAATTACAAATGTCAGATATGGTACAACAACCAGTGATACAACTTGTACAAGAATTAACAATGACTGCAGTGGTTGAACGACATGACTGTACAGTTACTAAAAAAGAAGAAAAATCAAGAAGTCCCAGGTCCTGTTTGAATACGAACAATGCATGTCATACCTCCCTTCCTTAAAAAAATCCCATATCCGTCATATACAGAAAGAACAGTATCAAACCCAGAAGGAGCTCCTGGCATTTAATGGTGGTTATCCAAAAACTAGACTCAAATGACATCAAGAAACTGAGGATCTCCATCTCTTAATGCTGCTGCTGAGCACCATCCCAGTTATATTAGGGGGAGACTCATCATCACCGCTGTAGGGGAAGGCAGAAGAGAAGAAATGCTTGTCATGTATTCAAACAGGGCCAACTCAGCTGGTCACCTTGCCATTTATAAAGTTGTCTTCAGATACCAGTGAGATATGTTGGCACTAGAAGGTCATCATTTACATATACAAGGAGCCTGAAGTATTACAAACCAATACATGCTTGAGTAATAAAACATATGTATTTTTTTAAAACAGGCATTACAATGCACTTAGTGCGGACATTCAAAACTGTTGAGCAGTTTAAAGTTCCTTTATGTGTAGGAATTTCTTTGAGGATGGACGGAATGATAAAGAGGCTGAAAAAGGCGGGATGACAGAACTTAACTTGGTAATTGGCACATACAGTACAATAAAGGCTGTCAGTCTTTCTTCAGTTTTTTTCCCCACTAAAAATAAGTAGAATTTACTCAATGTAGCTTTTGGTATCATTCGCAAAAAAGTTAAAGACACTTCCTATAGTCATTGTCAAAACACACAATAGTGCAATGAAATTAACAGAATCGCTTTACTGCAACATGGATGGCATAAGAGTAAAGTTCAAACAATGACTGAGGCATGATTGGCAAACACAGTTTAGTTTCCCTGTGAGAGTGACTGAGTGTGTGTTAGAGTTTAGTTACAGGTTAGAAATACAAAATTTACAAGGTTTTTGAGGCTAAAGAGCTATAAGGCTAAAATCTACATAGGCGAAAGAAACAGAAAAACAAGATGTGCCTGAGAGCAACAAAAAAAAAAGACAAAGACTCAAGTGACGACAAGCCAGCAACAGCTTAATGCACGCATTCAGTTCCTGATTTTTTTCATGATGGAATGTGCAACTGGGGACAACATTTCTAGAAAAGAACCAACTCTCCAAATTAGTCCAAGAGATGGGGTATTTATGCGTACCATCTGAAATGAGAGCAGTCTTGAATAGTTTGAAATTCAACTCTGTGACATTCAAGCCCTGTCATGAATATGAACTATTGTATTTTTGTACTTCAATGCACTACATTGAATAAAAGCTGTATTTGCATACAGTCTAATACATACACAAAAACACACACACCGGCACGGGTAACATGTCCAGATTGGGTATTCACAGCATTAAAACAGATGGTTGTGATTAAACAGCAACAGCCCTAAAATCAAAGCTCAGAAGAAAACTGTCTGAAAATGCCTCCATAATGTCACTGATAACAAACACAAAAAAAAGTTAACATTTTACAAACGTATTAGAACATTGTGGGTAATGTACAGAAAAAAGTATTTGTTCGTATTTTGATTACTCGATAAGAAAATAAGACATTAAGTGCACATCAGCTGTGGTTCTGCAAGTGGTTGACTGTTCCTGTGCACAGCTGACGGTAACTATATAAGGAAAGTTTTTAAACAGGATTCCCTTATGCCTACAACAGACACAATCAACTGCCTAAGGTCAGGCCTGGGAGAGAAGAACATAAAGGGTTTCACTGGAGTAGTTATGATCGCAGAAATGTTATTTGGATCTGGAAAAAAAAACACAGCTTAAGCAGCAGGTTCTGAGTGAAGGTTATGAAGCATGATATGTGTCTAAGAGGCAACATGCTATCTATGATAAGCAGGCACAGGCCAAAGCAGGCTGCATCTTGACTTAGCCCGGGGGTTACTAGCTGCTAACAGCTAAATTGATGCAAGTTAGTTTTATGCAACCATCATTTTCTATCTAGATGAGGCCTTTGTCAGCTGTAGATTCAGATAGGTAATACAGTGTCTTCTTCCACATATTTCTCTATGTTCCACTTCATTCTCTAGTTAACCTGTCCTAAACTTTCTAGTATTCACTATATATGGGTAGCAAATTACAGGGATATTTTAAGTAATATAATTCCCTCTGCCTTGCTGGGAAACAAGGTTCAACTTAACTGGACATGTTAGAAAAAAGCAACTAATTTAAAGAAGCAAAAAAAGGATTAGGAATAAAGATGAATCACACTTTTTTTTTTGGCCAGGGTGAATAATGTAACATACTTTGATTTTACAGCTTTGCATCCAAAGGCAACACTGTCTAACATCAGCTGAAGACGTATTTGGAAAGATTCAGGAATGCTAATTACCAGGCCTTCTTTAACAGAGGGAAGCCTATTACTAGAGCTATTTATTTTGTATCTTAAAAGATTTGTATTGCTGCACATGCTGACGTAGAGATTATCAGAAGTAAATCCACACTTTGCAAGAATCAAATTTTGTACAAGCATCCAGAGGACTGTTTACTAGATATGCACTTCAAACTAGTGCAATGGGACAAAATTGCTTTAGAGAAAGACGTGGAAAATCCTTTCCAAACAAAGTGAAATAAAGGGGGACAAGTCGAGATCTACAAAACATGTTCAAAGGCATAAATACAGAAACGTTAGAATGGATTTATTTCCCCTTTATCTATTATATCAACAAGCTTCATTCAGAACCACCTGAGCCATGAGGGGTGTGGAGGCTAAAAGTTAGTTATATATATACGGGACCAGGTGGTTTTCATTTACTAACAAGTTGTGTTGGCAAAATAAATGACAAACATACAGCACAGATTAAAAAAAAGGCCTTATGCTACATTGAGAAATTAAAAAAAACATATGTTGCTGTGCTTCTTCAAAAAAGTCCCAGATACACTTCCATACTCATTCTAAAAGTAAATAAAAAGGAAAATAAATGTAATGTAAGCATTCAAGTGGTACTTTTATGGCTTTTTGTACAATACAACCTTTAGTGAAAATATACATCTAGACATAAATTCAAGTACAAATGTACAAAATCTTTAAACTCATACTTTTTTCTTTAATTATAATACACTTTTAATACAGCTCATAAATACAGGTCAACATTCACTGAGTTCCTAAGATTCCCGCTCGGTTGGAGTTTGTAGCTAAGTTCAGCGGCGAGGGGGAGGAGGAGGCAGGTGAAAGGAGTGGTTTAAAGTCGAGAGGGCTCTTCAATCTCATCGTCGCTGTAACTGCTCTTAAAACATACCTGGGAAGAACCAAAAGTGAGGATATATCACTATCATGAGCAACGTTCCATACTACATATCTCTCGTTTTGAAGATGATACCAGATTATGATGATACTTCAGGTTTGCCTTGAATGTATCATTACGTTTTTTTTGTAGTGTCTAAGGTGGAGGCTGACACTTTAAAACCAACTGTTAGATAGTGGGAAGATAACAAAAGCAATGCTACCAGGACAAGGCCACAGACAATAACGTAATAATGGACATTTTATAAAAACACGGGAACTACTGTGTACAGTTTAATTACTTCCCCAACTTCTTAATACTACATGTAGTTTCATTGAAAGAGAGCCCTTATAATCCTGACTTTCTGGTGTTTGAAATGATTGAGATGATTGTTATTCTTAATTCTGTTTATGGAGATTTAAATAATGAGATCCTAAACCAAATGTATGGGACAAAGGTAAGGAGGAAGGGTCCCCTATAGCAGTTACAACCTTGAACTACAAAGTTCAGACAAGTACCGAACAGGTGAAAGACGGTTTAAATGACCGACTAATTTAGTAGTTCCTGCAACCAATACATGATGGTAGAACCATTTTACCTTTGACAAACATATTCTTATATGTGTCACTATCTGAAAAGCAAAGCTTGATATCAAGACAAGCAAAAACCAAGTAAAGACACCTCATGTTAGTCCAAAGTTGGAAAGCAACAAATACGAACAATGTAAAACAAAAAAAAGAAGAAAATCATAATTTTTTCAGTGCTGTAAAAAAGTGAAAGGAGACAGGCCTTATTCTAACCCCCTAACGCAGCATTACCTGAAACAAATGAATTCAGAGGGATTCAGGATTTTTACATGTTGGGTTTGGACAAGGCCTGGGAAAATGAAGAAAGGAAGGAAAGAAGGAAAAGAGGAAGTACCTTAGCCCCCACCCCCTCGGACAGTTGGCGGAGCATTAGCACTTGCCTCTCTTCTGAACAGGCGGTAGAAGAAGCCCCTCTTTGGTGGAGGATTGGGTCGATTCACGTCCAGGTCTGAGCAAAGTGTCCCGTCAGTCTCATAGACGTTAATTTCTTTGAAGCACTCCATCTCAATCATCTACAGAGGAAAAGAGGGGCACGTTATCTTAATAACTTTCAAGAAATGAAAAGAAAGGTATTTTTTCACTTAAACATGTATTCATATGTCACCAGTGCTGTGTTGCATTCTAACTGTTTGCGCTGACTGAATGATGACATCATCTCAGGCGTGCGAGTTTGCAGTACCTCATTCTGCCACGGGATGGAGACACTTCCTGTGACAAACTTGTGGTAGAAGTCGTCGTCTGTGGGGTCAAGGTTCACGCCTTTGACAGTGGAGAACTGCTCGATGTCCAGGACGTCTTTACAGTAGACGGCTCTAGGCTAAGAGAGAGAAGGGGGGTTGGGGGGGTAAATAAACTTTAAAATATATCAATTCAAGTGATCAATTCTCCCTCACTCAGCCTATTCATCACTAACTAGCTCCCACTAGCTGCTGTGACCAATAATTATGTAATTATAATAACCAATTTGTTTATGATGCTGCTACTACTACTACTACATTAATAATTCTGTTAGATCTATATTTTTATATATTTTAGCCTTCACTCTATATGATCACATATCACCTAATCTAAGCTCTACAATTATGTCTGAAACTACTTTTTTCATGTGCAATGAATCCTCAGCTGTGTGTTCACCTTTGTCAATTCAACATGCCAAACACGGTTTTTAATGACATTGCACACATATCTGTGTAAAAACCTTTTTATTCAATAAGTAGAAGATGTTCATAGTGTATTAATGTGGTCTAAAAAATGTTTTATCATTATTTCATTCTTGTCAGTAGTTTTCCATTGCATTTGGTTTTCTATCATTTGATTACCCCTGTCCTTAACTTGGAGCTGCTCTAACAACTACATTTCCCACTAATGGAGGACCAAAAAAAAAAAAAAGATCTTGCCTTGATGGCTAAACTGGCACGTTACAGAAATGTTATGAATGTGAATAGTCCCTGTAATGTTAAAGTGTAGAAATAAATAAATTAATTAAATCATATTCTACTAGCTGATTCTGGATTTTGTTTTTCCTTTATTTTTGACGATGATAGTTAGAATCATATACTGTGAGGATTGTGTGTGTGTGCGCTCTTACATCAGGACTGAAGGGAGGATCCAACATGTTAGCCTCCAGCCGTTTGAAGTTTATATTTCTGAAGATGGGGTGCTGCTTGACCTCTATGGCCCCTCGACCCTGGCATCCCATTCGCTCCTTGGGGTCCTTTGACAGGAGCTGACATGCACCAGGACGGAGAGTAAAGAGGGCAGGAGAGATTTAAACACTGAAACTTTCTAAAAAAGAATGTTAGGGATTAGTAGGAAGATACATTATCGACAGAATTAGCCCAAGAATATGAAGTCTCTATAAGAGCTTGTGGATAAAATAATGAACATATAGTCAAGTAGGCTAATGAAGTGTTAGCTTTTCTGTTATTTTGATACCAGTGAATAGTCCCACTTGCCATGTTGTCAACCGCAAGCTAATTACATTCACAGCAAACAATTACATTTATACTATATCCTCTTTCACTTCCCCTTTGCATCTCCTGTCCTTGTGCAACCCTCACCTAATTTATGCAGGGGCTCAAAGCAGACTCTAACTTGACAACTCAGATCACTTGTCTATTTTGAGCCATCCCTCCCCCATTCCCCCCAGGAGTCTTTGAATCTACTGAACCCCGGGTCACAATGTTCCACAACGTCATACGCCCAGTCCCCTCCTGCTCAGAGGGGAGGCATGAAAACCACTCAACCAAACAGAGAACTTTCCATGAGTTGATTTAAAAATGTATGGTATTACTTTTGTTTTTGTTGTAAAAGCACCAGTTATCATGTTCTGGGTGGGGCAATACTATGAACTGAACAGTCTTGTTTCTTAATCTCACTAATTCATTTCTGACTTTTTTTACTAAGTGAATAGCAGGAATCAAAAGCTGCTTCACTTTTATTCTAAGGCTTCTTAAACTACTAATGGCATGAACTGTCTTAATATAAACATAATCATGTACGATGCAGACGCAAACACAAATGAGAGGCTACATGCATATTCTGAAATGAAAACATCATTTAGAGGTTCGATAGTGTTTTTTCTTCATATTTGTCAAATTCCACATAATCCTATCTTCATTTCCCTTTCCTCCTCTGCCACACTAATTCCAAACTCAAAGCCATCAGTCAGGTCCTCCCTCTCACCTGTCTGCAGATGTGTTTCGCCTCCTCTGAGAACTTGTCGGAGTACTCTTCCGGGTCTTCACGCACTCGTCTGTCCACCTCCTCTCGCTTGACACGCTCTTTGCGTTTTCGGAATGGGGACTGGCCCTGAATCATCTCAAAGATCAGGCAGCCCAACCCCCACCAGTCTGGGCTGAAGTTGTAGCTCTCGTTCTGGATCACCTCGGGGGCTAAGGCAGGGGATGAGAAGTGTGGAAAGAGAGTCAGTTCAAGTGGCTCAGTTAAAGAAGTTAATCAGGAGGGGTAAGAAAACTGAGATTTTGTAAAGGGATGGTCAAAAAACTGTTTCAAGTCGATTTCTAGTGAAGGGATGAAAGAAATCATTGAAAACAGGGAGGAAGAAGATTTTTAAGTGGCACAGATTTATACCCATGTATCCAACGGTGCCTACTCTCCCTCGTATCGTCTCTCCTTCAGGAATTTGAACAGCAAGGCCCAGGTCTGAAATTCGAATGTGTCCTACACAGGAACAATAGATAAATGAGATCACACTCTTACTTTATCTAATCTATTTTTACATCACTGAAAAAAATGCAATTTTGTTCACAAGCAGAGGATTTAATGCTTAATACTAGACATCCTGAATTATGAAAAAAACAAAATTCACCAGTTCAAAGGTGGAGCTGACAAAAGTCATGTAACACTCAAATGATCTTTAATGACTGAACGTGAAGCTAAGTAAATATTGGGAGGAGACCCCAATTTCTATACGACCATATTAGTGATATTACATGAAATGGGAGTGTGTCTGAAAGGTGGGATGTGGAAAACTAAAGAGGACTAGTTACCAAGCAGTAAGCAGCATAACTTAATCAAACACTCCATATGAAATAAATAATATACTCTGACAATCAGGGTGCCTACATACCAGACCAACTTGTCTCAAAATGAACAAAAGGAAAAACATTTTGTAAACATACCACGGTCATCCAGAAGGATGTTTTCAGGTTTCAAGTCCCTGTGAGGAAAGAAAACAGACACTGTTCATTTTGAGCGTAGGCTAGCACTTACATGAATACAAAGAATATAACAATAAAATCTGGGTTTAATATTTGTGTTTTGATGGATTTGACATATTGTTTTTTTTCCATTGTGTATTATAGGCAGTGCCAGTGGGCTTCTACAATATTTCCTTTGACGGCTGAAAGATGGCTCACTACACACATTTTTATTTGCTCTCTGTTTTTCTGCATTATATTGAGCAGCAAGTCAGTTTATTAAAACATTTGGCAAGCTTTCTCAATTAACCTGCCACATTGTTAGTTTACTTCAACTTCTGAGGCTTTTCATTTCTCAAACTGTTGGAAATGGCCACAGAAAAAGAAATAAAATATGAAAACTGGCACATTCTAAGTAATGCCAAGAACAGGGACAATGGCAACTGTGAAGTGTACTGAAGTCTGAAACATACGCAAAGATCAAGGAAAGTCTGTCTTTTCCTAATATGGATGTTCATATGTTCTCACTCCATTTCGTTTGACAGGTACATGACATCTGGGTGGAATCAGAACATCATTAGTCCAGTGACACTTCCTTATTCAGGACTTTTCAGTTGTGCTTTTCCAAATGCTATACAACTGCAAACCCTCTAACGGAACAGAGTACAAGTACCACTAAGTTAAAAGGTAAGACATTCAGTTAGTTGTTTTATTCATATTTTTAAGGTTTGTCAATTTAATAAAGTTTTGAAACTTGTGAGAGAGATTAAAAAGGGAAGGGTTAAAATATAAGCAGCAGAAGCCAGGATATCCTGACATTTGCTCTAAATATGATGTGTGTGAATATAGATGCATGAGGGAAGTGTCTGTCATTGGACTCACGCTTCCTGGTACACGCTCACCTCTTTCAAAGACCGCTACCACCAGTTTATTTTAGACTTTCTATCAGGCCTGATTACATCATCGGAGTTATTTTCTTTATCTTTAAACTTCATTCAGAGCCACAAAAGAGAGCATACAATTGTTCTTAAAGGTTCAGTAAAACTTTAATTGACAAGTTCACTGAACTTCATGTGCAAAATCGGTGGAGCTTTCCTTTAAACTTCAGGACATTCAGTCAGCTGCAGGATCTTTATGACAAAATCGTACAGAATTAGTTCTCTGAGACGGAACGCCCCTGTAAAGTTTCAAAAAGCCTCCATGCTGAATGCTGTCTTCATTTTTAGCTAAAACATGGATTGTCTTAAATAGTTTAGATGCCCAACCTTCACTACCTATAATACAAGCCAACAAAATCCTGCATAGTATCCCGTTTCCTCCATGAACATGTGCCCAAACTGTTTCTGACCCCCATGTGACCTAACCTGTAGACTATCCTTTCACGGTGCAGGTCCTCAAGGCCACAGCATATTTCAGCAGCGTAGAAGATGGCCCTCTGCTCGTCAAAGCCCGAATTGCCCATGTTATAGATGTGAAACTTTAGGTCACCTCCATTCATTATGGTCAATACCAGGCACAGCGCATCCTTGGTCTCATAGGCATAAGCTAGACTAACCTGGAGAGGGAGGCAAGTTTGGGAAAGTGGTAACAGGGGAGGTGAGGGCACAGTCGAGGAGAGTTGGTGAAAGGGGGGAGGAGGAGGGGAAGGGAGAGGGGAGAGCAGTAGTAAGAGACAGGGCGGCAAGATGAACGCGAATGTCTCATTTGGTTGCTTTGATGCCCCAAATTATCATCCGTTATTCCAGAAGGAATGTCTGGAATGTATACAAAAAGAAACAAAGAAAGCTAGATCACAGATATGGGAAAGCAGAAGCTTCTTTTTCCACTCTGTGCTCAATTCCCCTGAAGTCCTTCCCCACTAATCACCTCATCTATCTCTCTTTTCTCCCTTCATTCCTGGCGTCCCCTTCTCTGCACTGCTCTGCTTCCCCCCCCCCGGGTCAATGACATGCAGGGTATAGTGTGTGTGCATGTGATGTTGTGTGCAAGCAGGATGTAGCTGCCATCAGGAGGAATCCCATCTGCTCCAGACTGCATTGTCAGAAATGGACCATAAGGGAGGTTAAAAAAAAAAAAAAGAAGCTCTTTAACCACGGGGATAGGGGCACACGCATTCTTTCTTTCATAGACAACTCTCGCCTGATAAGTTGATTGTATTTCATATTAACACTGTCAGATATTGTATTTATGTTAATCATAAACGTTTTGTGCCCACAGGAGGACAAAGTATTTACTTGGATGCATTAATGTGTATGTACAGTATAATGTCCTGATAACAGTCGTTGCACATGATTGCCATTTAAACTGGATTCATTATCATCTCTAACCAATTCAGAATCTGTGTTTGTTAGCACTCAAACATAGTTTGGGACAAAAATATTTTTTGAAATGATGAGAAAGTAAAAATAAGAGAAATTATTCAAAGCAGCAGATTGAGGATGGGAGGACATCGTCTGCCTTTTTCTACAATCAAGGCGAGAACATGCCCATTGATCATTTCCTCACGCTGTTCTTTCTCCGCTTGAAACTCTTAACATAACCTTTAACCTATTCATTCCGTAGTCACTCTAACTTTGCTAAATGTTGCTTAGTGCTCATGATGGATTCATGTTGGCTCATTGTAGATAATTTAACAAAGAGTAAGGTCTTCTACCTGCTCTTTTTGTAAAGAGTCTTGAGATAACATTTGTTATGAATTGGCGCTATACAAATAAAGATTCATTGATTGATAGTCCTTAATAAATTAATGACTGATTCCTTGTTCTTATTTATAATGTTGACATTGTTCTAGTTTTCTGTGACTTACTTTTAGATATTTGGTTTTTGGTCTGATGTATGTTAAAGATAGCCTTTAACTCAAATTAAATCAGGTCGTGTTGCTAATGTTTACATAATCCTAAGTACCTCGAAACATGCCCAAATAAAGCTAATTTTTCTTATATCAGTCCTGCATGTAGGGGTTTCAGAACAAGGTGACCCTGTCCTTTGTCTATAAACACATTCACACACTGAATATTTTGATGGATTATTGTTTAAAACACACTGTAGGCATGTCTTAAACAATAGTATGATGCACTGATAAAAAGGTAAAGAAGAAAAGTGAGAGAGAGGAAAATGAGGGGTATGAGAGAGCACTTGACTCTTCTCCTTACTACTGCTGTTTGGTCAGAGTTGCTAGGCAACAGAGCTGCTCTCGTAGGTAGAGAGGCACATGAAGAGTCATCAGTTCTGCCTGCAGCACCACACACACACACACACACACACACACACACACACACACACACACACACACACACACACACACACACACACACACACACACACACACACACACACACACACACACACACACACACACACACACACACACACACACACACACACACACACACACACACACACACACACACACACACACACACACACACACACACACACACACACACACACACACACACACAGAGAGAGAGAGAGAGATCCCAGGCGACAAAAGCTGCAGGTCTGAGGTTTTGTAACAAGCCAACTCTGAGTTAGTGTGTGTACTTGTGTGTTTGCACACCCACTGATACCCATAAACATGCTTCCTTTTTTTTGCAAGACAGAGAAACAAAACGCATATCCATTTTTGTTTCATGCTTTAACACCTCAACTGCTGCTTGTGTGAGCACTTAGATGAAATAAAAATAGTGGCTCACAACATCACTACTTTCCCAGCTGTGTTGGACTCCTGACTTGGACATGCACAGTCAAGCAGGAATACAATTCACAATTTCATTTTTATACAGCATACAGGATTATAGCAGATTAAATCAAGAAAGACACACCTGAAACATGCACATAATATGACATTTAAAAAGTGAGAGCACTGAAGTGACGTTTAGTATTTTCTGTTTGTAAAGCAAGTTTTTACTTCTTTAGCATAGCGTGTTACAAATGAAAAGCTCTGTGACTCTCTGTAAAGTGTTCAATTCTGGCATTACAACATTACCCAAAAGCTATGGTGAGGACTCTGGGTTTGTTTTAGTTAAGGCCCCTACAGGACAATCAGCCTAAATTTGGTGCCGTTCTTCCAAAGCATCACTAATATACTGAGTAGCAAAAGGTGTTTTTGGAACAAAAAGCTCTGGGGCCTTTTTGAAGAGGAACTATCCACTAGGGAGTTCCCTGAGCACTACACAACATGGGGACTTTTTGTCTGTCTGCATTCGCACCACCATGGTACCTAGTCTGAAGCAGGAGCTAAAAAGGTTCCTCTAAACGAGGTTCTAGGAACTAAAATAGTTCATAGTTCCTGTGGTGCGGAATCAATAAATAAGGGGTAGGGCTCCAACAGTTCCTAGAACTATGAAAAAGTTCCTGCGGTCCAAAAACATCTAATGTCACAAATGGACTTTGTAACAGTTAGTTTTGGAGGACAACCAGAAAGAGCAATTCTAATAATGTTTTCTGTATTTCTATTATTTTACTTTGATATAATGAAATATTTCTTTAAACATTGGGGCTTCTCAAAAAAAACTTCTTAAATAAAACTTAAATATTATACTCCGGCATGCACTTTTCAGTGGATTATGGGTGTGTTAGGTTTTAAACTTTGAGTCAATAGAATCGTAATAACTTTGACTTGTGTTTAGCCTCACAGCATAAAGGATTAATGCTCTCTTCTAAAGTATTATTCCTTATCAGATGCTTGGTCTAGATACTTGCTGATTGTATGTGGGGACAATATAAAAGTAAGCCATCCATCAATGTAATAAGGCTAAAGCATAGAGACAGTTCAAATCTGTCAAAATTGAGGGACCAAAGCAGATGTAGAGGCACATATGTAGCTGATGTATGATCTATGACCTTCATATGTCAAAGTACACAGATATACAATGAACAATCTGTAAATTTGAATAAACACCTTCAGGAACATATCAAAAGAGAACACATTAGGGAACACATTCACAGATGATTTAAGGCCGTCGTGATAAAATGAAATCAAATTTGACAAGTTTGCAAAGGCAAAATAGAAGGGTAATTCCCGAAATGAATTTGAATGTGGAACTGACTGCAGGTGGCAAGCTGAGATGCCAGTGGTAGCTGGTAAGTAGAGTATGGTGTGGGTCTATTTTTTCCCCCTTTTAGTTTATTATCTTAACATGTTTCTTTTCAATGATACTCGCAAGCTTGTCCCCATGGCATGGAAGTCATTTAACAAACACAACTCGTTTCATAGCAACTGTCTGTTAACAGCTGATCGACAGCCTTTGCAAACGTGCCATCCAATTTCATTTGCAGGACTTGAGGGATTTAACAAACAATACTCACACATACAGCACACACGCTCACTCACACAGACAGAAAAAGACAAGTACATTTCTTTTGAAAGTTTGAATAAGAAAAAGGTAGTACTTACTACAAAACTACTGTTAACTTTTTCTAAAATGCGTTTTTCGTTTAGTGCCATTGCTTCACCTTTTCTTTTCTTCACTCGTTTCTTTTCCAGCTTTTTACAGGCGTACATCTTACCGGTGGCACGTACTTGGCAGGCACAAACCTGGAAAACATGCAGCAAAGAAACACTATCACACACACAGCACTTTATAAACAAGACTTTCAAAACATAACTACTGGAATATAATGTGTCACTTTAAGATTTCTACAACCATCAGCTCTGGTATTGAGGCATTAACAGCTGTGCATTAACTAACTGTTAAGGACTTCTTGTAAGAACATTAATCATTAACCTGAATAACTCGTGTATAAACACACAGTAAAAGGGAACAACATGATGGAAAGTATCTGTCATAAAAACTTTAATAACCACAATTCCACATCAAACCATCAGTCATATCAACTTGTGTTATTCATTGCAGTGACACTCACCTCACCAAATCCACCTTTTCCTAGTACTCTATAATGTCTGAAGGTATTTTTGGTTACTGGTTGCCTGCAGGGATTGAAAGAAGAGAGAAGAGAGAAATGACAAAGAGACACAGAAGGAATCATTAAACAACTTGTAGATTATGCCAATATTTCTAGACCATGCAATGTTGCAAACATATTCATGTGCTAAAATATCAGGAATCTACTCTGATGACTGTGTTTTCACCCTGCTTCAGTTACACAGCCATTATGCAAAGCATCATCAATTATTCACCACACACAGAAACACTGATTGGCAGCAACACCTTGGTTTGTTTGGGCATTTGTTGTTGTTTCTATCATTATTCATTTCTTTACTGTATTAATCAATGAAATACTTCAGTGTCTTAAAGCTTTAAGACAGTATAGTCTAAAGGATAAAGAAGTGGAATGAATGACAAATCAGTGAATGTGTATAGGATCATATGGGATATTTTTAATCGCAGGAAAAGGATTGGTTTGCATTTCTCTTTACCAAGTGTGTAATGTGCAGTGACTACCTACCTCTCCAACCATTTCCACTGCAGAAAGCGAGAGAAGTACATGGACTCATGGTAGGAGGAAAATGGAGCTCCACTCAGATAATCACGAACTATTCTATAAAGAGGGAGGGAGGAAAGGAGGGCGTGAGTAAGAGGGTTGTTGATCATTTAATAACAAGAGATAAAGATGTAACCAGAAATAAATGCACATGGATGTTTTCTCCACAAATCCTCCAGACAGACAGACATACAAACAAACATGTGTCCTGCATTCTCCAAAAATAATCATTTAACCTTTACAATAACTACAAACAAAACAACCTCTTTATTTGAGTAAGCCCTGAATCAGATACTCTGTGTGTGCATGCCTGGGTATATCTGTGTGCTTACATGTCTCCTTAGGCATTGCCAGCTGTGTTACGGTGCAAAGCTGTTCTCAGCGGAAAGACGGAAAATACGAGTGCAGATACTCCACCGTGAAAAATTTAAAATGCCTTTGAACAGAAACATTCCACCCAACCCTACTAGGAAACAGGGGATATTGGGAAAACCATGTTTTTTTACTGAGCAAAAGGTTGAGCGGAAAACTTTAATCTCACCTTACCATACACGTGTATGTGAGTATGAGTCTTTCCAAATCCATTTGATTATGTCATATATTATAAAATAATCCTCCAAAAAGAACAACTTCATTTACTGCAAAGAAAACGACTGTGGTGACTGACAGCCATGATGTCACAAAAAAAGTTTATGAGGACAGGAGCTGTAACATTCCCAGCCCCATTGTCTCCGGATCATACATCAACATATGTCACTTAACTGAGAGTTCTGAGGACTTGAGTCTTTGACATGAGTCAAAGCTTGTACAGCAGATGTTTTTTTACTTCAACACCATGGACTCTTTGATGCAGTTACACAATACATACATAAACGTAACTAAATCAGGTTGATAATAAGACAAGTGGTTAACACAGATGGACTTGGTAAGGGGATTGAGCTTTTCTAGTCTTCCGACTACTGAAAGCACTTTTACACGCAGGTCACACCTACCCATTCACTGATGGCAAAGTCTGCTACATAAAGCATCCATCAGTATTAACTGATCCATTCATACACTGACGAGTCAGCAGGAGTAACTTGGGGTTAAGTGTCTTGCCCAGGACACATCGGACATGTGGCTGCAGGAGCTGGGTATTTAACCCTCAACCTTCCAGCTGAGAGCTGACTGACTCTAACAACTGCCGCCCCAGATGTTACCACATATGAGGTATTCATTCTGGATCTAAAGGTTAGACTATAACACTTCTGCTTCATTCATTTTAAGGCAAATATACATTTGATTGTTGATTGACTGTTGAAAATGGATGAATTTTCTGTTATTTAATTTTCATTTTTCACACCAAACACAGAGAAGGAGCATACCACGACTATAGTATAACTAGACAAAATAAACTTCAACTTCAAAGTTTAAGAAAAGTTACAGTCACCAGGAGAAAACATAACACAAAAATGTGTAATCTCATTTTGAATGAAAGGATTAAGGTCACTAACATAGAAATACAGGTTTTCTGGAATGCTGTATCCTGTATGTCAATAGGACTGGAAAAAAACAAGTCTTCAGTTAAGATTATCAATGCAGAGTTGATCAATACAGCAACAGACACAAATCTGTCTATCAAAAGGTAACCATGAGTGACACAAAATGAGGACATTTCTCTGCTTTATGTAGCAGCAGATAATGAGCCAAGTACGACTTTGTACCTCTTAAATACCTATAATAGGTACGTCAGGATAGTTTAACCGGTTTTACAAGTCTAAGTTTGAGCTCTTAAGAAACACAATCTCCAAGGATTTTGGAGGGTGAATTTTGTGTTACTGCCTTTACAAATCTACTGGTGCAACCTTATTTCAGATGGTTATCTAATATTCACGAAACACAAATTCAATTTAAAAAATAAATATGTAAGAATAGTAATGTAACTAAAACAGAATTGTCAAGTAAATGAGGCATCAATGAGAATTTGAAACCAGCTTAAGAAACATGGAAAGACTAGAGAGGGGAAGGGCCTCTCAGGGTTCAACTGTTCTACTTCTGTACCCAAGCAGACATAACTTTTACACCAATGTGATCAATATGTCTTCTGCCAGCCAATAACCATACAGTGACAGCAATAGTTACAGTAAATATCCTTCCTTCACCGCCTTAATTCTAGATGAACGCTCTTGTTTGATAAGGTGATTTACCTGGACAATAATAAGAGTCAAATTGTTACTAAGGACGATAAGGCAAGCTGCCAGAGGTTACCATACAACACAATATATATTAATGGATGAAGCCTGAGTGAAGTCACCCATCCGTTACTGCTGGGGGCTTGTGAAGCCTGTCGATGGCGGTAACCATGCTGGAAATGCTGTCTCAGCCTAACTTTCAGTCAACCTACTGACAGGCTAAGAGCTGGAGTTAAGGCGATTCTTAAGCCTCCTGACAAACGATTGCAATGCGACCACCAATCAGGTCAGCTAATGCCTATCCTTTATATGACTCAAAATGGATGAGTTATCAAAAAAATCACCCCCTTTACAGTGTGTGCCCAAGGAGACATGAGCAATTTAGTTTTTGAACCAGACTGTAAACATGTTCATTTCTGAAGTAAAAACAGGCTTTACTATACTGCAGGACAATTTTTCACAGTAGGTTGCCGCTTGGTGATAAACAATAGCCCTGGGGTGGCTGACCCGGGCAAAATGCTTGAGAGAAAAGAGTTTCCACACGGTTAGTACCCTCTGTTGGCATGATAGATGGGTCTAATGTAGTGGTACTTGAGTTTTCTGCTTTGTAATGGAGATAAATGTCTTATCTTTTCTTTGCAAAAGCAGCATAGGTCCTACCTGGTCTTTTCAGTGCCTTCTGCTGTCCCTGAGCTCACATTGGTTTTGAATGCATGGACATTAAATGTTATTTAAACTCATTCAAATTCACTGCAAGGTGCTGTTATGCCACGTTCAAACAATGTATACAATACCATATTACAACTGAGGCGTAGGGGACAGCATACATTCTTTACCCCATACCAACGTCCATCTCAAATCTGTTATCCAGCCAATAACTACTCAGCTGTTCCTCTCATCCATTTTCACTGTTTAAGCCAATTAGGTTCATTTATTTTCAGAAGACACAACTGCTAACTTTAAGAAAGGGGCTCCACAAAGGAAGGAGCCTAGCAGTGCCTGGCTTGGAGACCAGCCTCAGACAGACACCACTGTGAGTACAAATAAACACACGTACAATATGGCTTTTGTTACTCGGAGGGAGCCCAAGAGGCATGGGAAAGGAAAAAGGGAGTAAAATCAGAACATTGACCTTTGTCAAAACCAGAGATACACAAAAGACCATGTTACACATGTAGTACTGAAGGCCAGGCTTTACTCTCACTATGACATAACTCCATGTTCCACTGCAGCAGAAAAAAATCCATGAGTGAGCTAATACATTTCTTCTTGTGGGTGTGTGGCTCTGCCAAAAGTCACGTTTGACTTACCGCACTATGTTTCCTTTCCTACAAGCTTTCCCTAGTGAGAAAAGCCCCGGGTCAGAATTGTACATAGGATTTATTTAATTGAAAAATATACAAATTCCACAACGGAATAAAAAGTAAATAATAATGATAGTGGAAGGAGTGATGACAATCTCAAACAGGAATCGCATTCCAAACATCTGTACTGCTGCTGCTACAAGCCGTTAGTAACAAAAACACGTGCCTGTGCTGTTCTGTGTGTGTGCACTCTGCTGTTTTGTCCAACTCTCCTATTCGCTTTCTTTCCATTTCTCCTCACTTTCCCCTGTTCCTCATTTTCACTCTTCTTTTGTGGCTCTGTGTGAGTTTTCTAACTAAGCCCTTCATGCTGTGTTCTCTGCAGGCCTCTCACTTCCGTGCTGAATTTGTTTTCAGTCCAGTCGAGGCGTTTAAATTAAGTGGACGCTGTGCTTTAAGGGTTGAACTTAAATGCTATGGTATCTTTCTTCATCATGCCATTTCTCTGCCTTTTTACTTCTCAGAGGTAAAACAAGATTGTCTGTGACACACACATGTTTGAATTGTATTCAGTAGAATCTTTACCCTGACAAATGTCTTCTGATACAAGTCTGACTTTATTTCTTTAAACATCCCAATAGAATTGGCCTACCCACCTATTTATAATTACCCAGTAAGTGCGTATGGGTATACCTAAAGAGCATACCCGAGATGCTGCACTCTTCTTAAGTAGAGATGGGGAGGGGTTTACCACTGCTGGCAAAAGTGCAACAATTTATAAATTACATTTTTAATATAAAATTGCAAAGAATCTGGGGATTTCATTGTCTGCAAAAAAACATTTGATATTGAGATAAAAAATATATATAAATCAGACACTCCTGGGTCTGGGCTCATTTTAAATGGACTGAGAAAGTGGAAAACTGTCCAGAGGTCTGACAAGGCAAAATTTGGCTTTCTGTTTGGAAGACGAGAGGAACCATTCGGCGTGTAATCAGTGCACAGTCCAAACGCCACCATCAGTGAAGATATGGGGATGCTTTTGTGCACATGGCATCAATCAACTCGCATTTGTGAAGGCTCAATTAATGCTGAACCATTTCAAGTACACAGGTTTTGGAGCCAAATAGTTCATTTCTATTCAGGAAGTGCCACGTGCTGTTTATTATTTTCATCTTATAGAGCATCTCAACTTTGGAAATAGGGTTGTTTATCAAGTTTAATTTTTAACTCAAAGTGTGTATGATCTCTAACTAGACTTCAATAAATTTTGAAGTTTGTTCCAATAATTTCTCCTGTTCATGAACATGCATGAGAGGTGCAGAATCTAAATAAGGCCTCTCAATAAAATACAGTCTCGATTGAACACCACTGCAAACTCTAACCTCAGTAATAAAAACAAGTTAAATGAAAAACAAAACATTGTTATGTTTTTAAAGGCAAGGGTGCTGCATTAGAACATTTTAGATTGTACAACTCTATCCAAGGAATAATCCGATGTGTATGTTTCACAACATATACTACGCAACATAAATCACTGGGTTAATACAAAAGTAACGCCAGGACGTGTGGAATGTGTGTGTGTGTGTGTGTGTGTGTGTGTCTGGGAAATAAGAAGTACATTCAGAGTAATAATCCCCAGTCTGTTTGCTTCTCCTGGCTCTCAGAGCAGGAAGAAGGAACACCTGCAAGAGTGTGTGTGTTCGCATGCTTGAGTATCAGTGTATGTGAGAGAGAGAGCGTGTGTGTGAGTGTGTAAGAGTTTAGTGTGTGTATTTTGAAAACTGAGGTGGCTGTTGTTTTCATGCCAGCCATCCAGATGCTCTCTTTGCCCACTGCTTTCATTCACTTTCACCCTTGTATGCATGTATTTGCAAGTGTGTGTGTGTGTGTGTGTGTGTGTGTGTGTGTGTGTGTGTGTGTGTGTCTAATATCGTGTTGCAAGTGCCAGCTGTCTCATCATGACTAGTTACAGGGTCAACTAGTCCAAACATTATGAAAGCACACACACTGTCTGAAGGAATGGGGGTTCTTATGGTTCCGCTGCACTTTGAAGGCCAGATTCATACAAAAAAGCCCCAAAACACAAAATCTACACACTTTCAACAAACATGTATTAGTTATAGAGCTGCGGCTCAGATCATAGCCACTTACATTTAAAGAGCACAAGTATGGCAGAAGTGGAGAGAGTCAGATAGACTTACTTGGTGCAGTCATTGAAGAGCTCCTTGCATGGACTCTGCTCCAACTTCTCCCGACACCCTGCCACCACATCCTGGGGTAGGTCTGGCAGATGGGCCGCTGACTTTGGGATTACAGAGAAAAAGAAAGAGGGTGAGGCAGGTGGGCAGACAAGTTAGCTTGGCATGACAGGTCATCACACCTGACCTGTTTGGTCATCTTATAAACAAACATCAGAGGGAGCTGAAAGTGTAACTGTAAACTCTTTAAAGGTCCAGTAGTAAGTACAAACAACAAATGTTATCCTTTGTGTGTACTTGAATTACTTTTCTTAAGAACATTTTTGGTTGTCAGAGTTGTTACTTTTTTAGAAAAGCATTACTTTCAATATTGTGTACTTTATTAAGCCGCTCTGTATTTTTTCATTATTTTATGCTGTCATGCACATTTTGTTCAAATGTAGATGTTCAGTAGCCATTCATGACTCTGGTCAAAGATATACAGCGTGTGGGGCTAGCAGCTCATGTAAACAAAAAAAAATGAATAGCCTTAGTGCTGTTGGCTCTAGTTGTGAATACTGGTCTCTGTTTAAAAACATCTAAATAGAAATATGCTGACACTGACCTAACACAGATACACTTCTATGTAATTGGCAAAAAGACTTCTGTTTCTGATTCTATTGCCCTCCTTTGGTTGGAGAGAACTTGGTGGGAGGGGCTCATACTTGATCTGTGGCAGTTTGCAATGGAAACTTTGATGGACATTTATACTGGAATAATACAAGTGTAAGGACACTGTAACATGTTCAATATTTACATTTATTTATGTTTTTAAATCACAAACACGCTTTAATATGTGCACACCAATAATGTGATGATTTATACTGAATCAAGTTTAAAAATTGGAGAAAAAGTGAAATCTTGTCTTTTTATTGAAGTCAAATGTTGTGGCTAAAGTTGATACAGACTAAGGATATTGTTCTGGTGTATATTTGTATATTTGTCAGGTTCTCTTATAAGAAAATGGTGATTTGTCATTTAATCATAAATAACTACATTTTTGTTAACCTCTTATTAATTGCCTAAAGGAAGACCAGTCAGATTAACATAAAAAAACACTTCAAGATTTTAAAAAGAAACTGTTCCTTCTCTTCTACAGTTTTGGCTGCTTTACTCAATCTGTTTGAAGACCAAAAATAACTTAAGACTCAATATGGGCATATTACATATAAATACTTTATTATTAAATTACAAATGTCAACTTTTAACTGTATTTTAAGTGTGCATTACTTTGAAACAATAAAGTATATTAATTTAGTGGCTTTATAAACACAAATTAATCGATGAAAAATAACCAAAATAGAGGAGTGCATATATTATAGCACAAGACAGAGAGGATAGTAATCCTCAATTTACCAGAGGTTAGGGGTTAAAATTAAGTCCCACATTTTGTACAGTCCACTTCATATTCTACATTAAACCTTATTAGCAAAAACTGTGTGTTTACTCATTGATAAATGTAGATGTAATAATAACATGATTAAAACAAAGTTTAAGAAAAATCAGTAATAAAAACGTTCAGTTTAAGTGTACTTAATAATATCACACAGCTCAGTGAGACATAAAACCTGAAGATTTAAAACAATATCAGATTAGTATCTGAAGTCTATATCTTACAGCACTTTTATTAATGAAGCTTGTGTTTGTGTCATACCCCATTATTAAAGTATGTGTCTAATACATTCAGTCCACAGTCCCTCCTCTTCTCATCAGGAGCTAGCTGGTACATGGCCTGTCAGGGAAGAATACAAGTGTGAACAACCACAGCAGCACACGAAGCGTACTCATTCAGCCATCTTTAATATCTCTCCAAATAAGGTCAGAGAGAGACAGGCAGCAGAAGGAAGAGGAAGACAACAGACACGGGGAGGAGAGAGAGAAAAGGGTAGAGGGGTTAATGAGGAACAAGAGAGAGGAAGAAATTCAATTAGTGCAGGACCACAGACAAAATAGAGAGATATTACTAGTGACACAACCCCATCTTAATCAAGGCAATAATGTTCCTCTAGTATGGAGCGCGAGTGGAAATATACAATACAAGGAGATGAATGAGGCAGAATAGGTGTAAACACTAAAATGTTTGTATTTCTCATATTGTATCTGTGTGACTATCTGTGTGAATATATGTAATTCAAACTAGTCTCACCTACGTGGTTGTTTTCTTAACTGAAAAAAATAAAGTAGGTTCTTAATATGCATGTTTCCCTCCTGTCTTTCTTTCATGCATACCTCCTTGGGCCTAGACACAAGCTGGGGCCTGTGTTTGCCTGCTCACCCTGGGGACGTGCCTCTGACGTGGGCTTGACCTCATGGAAGAGTTCATAGAGGAAGAGGAGGGGTCTCCTCTGTGCAGCCTGTCTAAATCGCTAATCACCCCCTACACCCACCCCACCCACAACCCATTGCTACTGCCAAGAGCAGGAAAAGGACCGAGTGCTGACTTTCTTTTAGTTTTCTTGCTTTGCAGGGCTCTGATTCAAGCCAGTGTCATTGGAGAAATCACAGAGAGAAGAATCAGAAGAGAGATTGAGAAAAGGGAAAACCACTTAAAGGAGAATATGCAAGAAGAGGATATATAAAAAGGCAAAAAGGAAAATGAAGAATTAAAGCAGAAGGTTCATTTGCAGTCTTACCACAGCGTCCATAAACTCGATACAGCGTTTCAGCTCTGGCCTGGTGTCACAGTACTGACGGAATAACAGCCGACCAATTGGCTGCTTCTCACATAGGCTGGTGTAGTCCCTCTCTGACGGAAAGAAAATAGAGGGAGAAAGACAGAATACACATTAAACTCCAAAAAAAAATCTCTGTCTACCTTTTTATACATTTAGAAAGGCCTTAAACATCCTGACAAACAGCTACTGTGCGCTACCTTTCAGTCAGATCCGCCGTGCTTTAATTGTGCATAACTGTCAGTCGTAAAATATTCAAAAAGATATTAAAAATGGACCCAACGCACATTGTTGCACTTCTGCATTGGCTTTATTTTTAAAAAACCAGAAGTTGCTGCCTGTTAAAACCAAGCAACAACGCCAGTGTTGAAAAATCAAAACCCTGCAATCCACTGCATTTTCATCATCGGGATGTGATCACATGCATTCACACTCAGTATTCAATTAGATGGAGCCCTCGAAACATTGGTCATGTATACATATCAAGTTCTAGCTAGTACTTTGCGAGCATCATAACTGAGGAAGAAAGAAGGAAATGTGTTTGAGGAAGATGATTGCCTCTATTTGGGATTATTTGGGATTTAAATGTGAGTGACAGTTAACAAACTGTTCTTCACTTTATAAAAGTCCTTCCCCCTGTACTGTGTTTGAATGCATGTCTGAGTATGTGTGTATGTGAGCCACAGCTGTTTCTTTACACCTTGTGCTTCCACGACGCCGTAACACATTGTGAAATCACAGACTGGGATACCAGAATGACAGTGTTGCAGGAACTACAGTATCTGTATACTAATTAACTACACACATAAATATTGTTTCATACTAGAAAAGCAGACAACGGGTAAACTTTTTTTTTTCTGTGTAAACTAACCACATTAGGAAGCTAGCTAAGTGGTATAGAGGCTAGCTAAGAGGGTATAGGTTTAGAAGTCATACTCTCCCAAACCTAAACCCTCTACTTTACGAAAAGTAGCAAATGTTTGCAATTTTATAAACACAGTAACACACACAATGTGTTAATGAATGTTTAAATTGGTTAGAGGGGTAAATGCCCCTATTTTCAAAGGAGCTATTGTCTCATGCACGTCCAGTAACTTGACTAAAACAAGCTTATCTCATCCATGAACACACACTAACTTTAAAAAAAAGCAAGCTGGCCCTTAATTTGGAAGTTATCTTAAACACACAGTATGTGTTTCTCTTTCCTGCAGAGTATTTGTGTTTGCATGTTTTCTATGTGTCTGTGTCTTGCAGCAGGCCTCAGCCTATTAGGACTAATGCCGTCCATTTGAGTCATATTTCCTCTAAATGAGGAAGAAGACCTAGGACATTTTCCATCACTGGTTGACAGGACACACACACACACACACACACACACACAGATAAACATACAAACAAAAATAGGCCACACACATTCACGTACACATGTGCACATGTGAACAGAGGATGAAAAGGAGGGATGCATGGGATGAACATTTCTAAATGTTGACAGCTGCAGGACAACCTCCAACAGTAAATCAAATCTCCACAACAGCCCTCCCAGCTGCACTGTTTATTATACAGCATTCCCTCCTGTTCCACAGCTCTGCGCTTCTCATTCAAACTCTCCACTTATACAACCACAAACACAAAGTTATCACTTAGTCGAGCAACAGTAGAGTGTAGAAATACAATATTTATATTGTTTCACTGTCCTCTGCATGTTTTAAATATGAAGAACAAAAGCTCTTAAAGAAAAAATCTCACTGAAGGATCTTTGAAAGTACTTGATTGATTGCCTTTCATCTTTAGTCTCAGAATATTTGGAGCCTTGTTTTTAAATCATCTGTGTTCAGCTCATCTAGAAGAGCACCTCACACTTACAGCTGAGGCATTTCTGCGGCATGTGTACAGCAAAATGTGTGAAGTGCTTGAAAGTTACTACTTTAGTTCCATTAACTTTGTCCGGTTCAACAATGCTGTATTAATATATGTATAATTTACATATCCACATCAAAGCCCTTAATTGTCAACATCTAGTTCCACAAACTAGATGATGACCTTGCTCAAATGTTCTCTCTCTCTGACTGGACAGGTAACCAGCTGCTTGTGAAAAAGTGCACGTGACTTCGATTTACAGTATGAGCTGGTTTGTTTGCAAATGGGAAGTGCGAACAATAAACAAACCAAATTCAACAGAAGTCAATTTTTCTGATTTAGTTTGGAAGAAAATGAACAAAACCTAGCTTGGTTGGAATTGTTAGCTTCAGCTCCTGATAAATCTCATATTTTATCATGCAAATTTTTCATCCTCTTCTGCAAAGGATTTAAATATTCGGGCTTTAGTGTTATGATGAGCATCCTGATAGGGTTTCGGTATCTTATTGTGAAAATCCTTTGTTGAGAATTTAAATGTGGTTTCATTCAAATTGCTGTTACATTTCCTGCTACTGTAGAGGTCATCAGATTCCACCCAGCACTGAATCACAGCACAACTGGTCACTCTTTGAGGTGACACACTAAATTTGCGTAATAAAACACAGAAACTGTTGTGCAATGTTCAGGGTTATTCTTCAGAAACTGGCCTATTAAGCAACATATCTGACACCTAAATAACCCATGGCTCTCTGGGTGGCACTAAGAGAAATGTAAGTAAGAATACATTGTATAACTATTCTATTATGTTGAGTAATTCATTTATGGTATTATATCTTTGAACCTTAGGCTGGTGTTGCGTAGTTTACCCTTTCTTAATCTTTAGTGGCCTTCTAATTCCAAATTATCAGGATCGTTTGGCCTGTCTCTCAACACGTCACAAATATGTCTATATGAATAGACAGAGAATTGTACCGTTTAAGAAAAGAATAAAGTTATCTCAGTACCCCTATCAACACTCTTTCTTCCATTATTTGTAATACTTTATTGACATTTGAATTGAACACAGACAACCGGGACCAGGAAACAATATTCGCAAAGGGAGACATGTGAGACTTGTCGTCTACATTTTCCAAAACCAGCACATTCCTGCAATAGCTACACATACTGCAGAATTCATTCATTTTAACCAACTATCAAAATAGTTTAAGTAAAATGTGTGCTACTGAGAACAAAACATGAGATTTGAGGCAGCTTTAATTTGATATTCTTTTCAAGTGTCAATATCTGTCAAAATTAATGTCTGTAGTTAAAAATGTTAAGCTGAAATAAGAAATAATGCTGAATCCCTTTCATGTCTGCGGATATATTTTAGTTAATCAGGTCTATGTCATAAAAGCAAAATACTGAGGAGAAAACCACTGTTAACCTGGCCAGCTCCGGCTAAGTGTGTAAGAGCATGTACGTGTATGTGTCCAAACTGATTCAAGGCTCTAAATCTTTTGAATACGTGAGCGTAGGCCAGCATTCCACCAATAAAACGTTTCCTATCTGTATAAGAGAACCTCTCTTGTCCTCTGAAACAAAACCACAGCGAAAGTAATCCTACAGAGAGATGAACAAAATACAAGACAGCAAGGTGTCATAGAAATATGGAACAGGGAAGAGACAGGACTGAAAAGACTGAGGAGATGAAAGCTTGAGGGGTAAAACTGAACTAAGCTATGAATACAACTTGATTAAACTCGACTTTAGTTAGACTGTTATAGTTACTTAAACAGCAAATGGTGGCAAGATGTTCATTAATATAAATCTGTTGAATGGTTGTTATTATTTCACAGACAGGAGTCTCTTAATGTATAGGTTGCATCTGTACTGTATATGCTGGATTGATAGCAGAGTGTTTTAAGAACGGCAGAAAAGGGTCTGTAGGCTGCATAAAGTTATCGAGACTTCCTAGAAGTACTGCACTCTTATCACAGCTAAGGTCAAGAGCCCCACCTCATCAAGACAAAACAAAGACACTGCTATCAGTTTCTACTGTATCTTTCTATGAGCTGGTTCTAAAGTGTGTATGTGCAAGCATGTGTATCTCAGTCTGCACACAAAGTATCTGTGTGTGTGTGCGTACATGCCTGTGGTGTATGTTTAAGTAGGCAAAAGGATTATTTTGATCCTATGCTCAGTGTGATAGGGAACTTATGCAATAGCGTCTATGTAATAGTGACGTTTGTAACCCTCAACAGCTGCTGTGTTAAAACACACACGCCTCATTTTAAGAGAGCAAAGTTTTAATCCTAATGGAAATGAATATGTAAGATGTAAGACTTGACAATTAAGGTCCTTTTTCACACACACGGTGGCAATTACGTGCTGTTTTGATGCAGGTCATCTATCACCACTGATCACAGGTACATTTAAGTTTATGATAATTAGATCTGTGAATGATCATTTGTAATATCGAGACAAAACGACATGGAAAGAATTGACACATGAAGAGATATTTAGTGGAGGACTACAGGTATTTACATCTCTTTCACTCAGTCGCCCTGCTCTCACTGTTCCTTTCACTCTCCCCTGTCCTTAAAAGATCTTGATCCTGGTGTTGTAAAAACCTCCCTCCCTTCAGTGTTTCACAAACTCCCTTGATAAGTCTCCTGTTCTGATACTGTTATGTTGCTCTCAAGTGGTGGAAGGAGGGAGGGAGAGAAAGAGAGAGAAACACACAGATAGTGGGGAGGGGGAGGCATGGAGACAGCAAAGAGGGAGGGAGAGAACGTGGGCGAGGGTAGCACAGCAATCTCTGGCAGAGATAGCTGTGACGCACTTTTACACACACATACAAAAACACACACACACACACACACACACTCCAAGTGGTGTGGCATTCAGACGACCAAGGTGGGTGAGGGGGACAAGGAGAAACAGGAGCACAGCTCTTTATCTGAGCTAAACTCTGAAAATCCTGCTCTTGTTTATTTAGCCACACATCAATGTGGGGAACAGAAAGGAAGCAAGAGTGAAGACACTTAGGTATGATGTGAGCAGGCAGGTAGTCATTGAGATAAACATGTAATGTTAACAGAGACTTTGAGGTTTAGAAAAGGCCGTGCAAATGGATTCACTGAGTCACACACACACACACGTACACACACACACACACATACATGTACACAAACCGTTTCCTTTCCCCTGCCTGAAGCTGCGGGTGGAGACGGGTAGAAACAGGAAGGAAGTCCAATCTGTACTTCCTCCCACAGTCAGACCCACCCGACAACACAGCATGGCACGTTATCTTTCTGCTTCACCCCCCTACACACACATGCACACACACCGTTTCTTACCAATAGTGCGGCGTAGCTCCTCACACTGGCTGATGTGGGGCAGTTTGAGCATCTCCTTCCATTTCTTACTGCGACCATTCCTCTTCCCTCCTCCACCTGAGACACAGTGAAAAATGTACTTAAATCAAGTTCAGCAGTCCTTTCAACACAAGAACACAACATGTGTGTGTGTGTGTGTGTGTGTGTGTGTGTTTGTTTGTGTGTCATGATCATGTTGACCTCTTGGTGACCAGAGGCAGGGACAGCTGCTTCATCTCACCAGTCGCCTCATGACAGAGCATGTGCTGAAGAATGTTGACAGCTTCAAAGATCATGAGGCATACACACATCTTGTCTCAAACACAGTCAGACACAGACTGAAAAAACACACAAACCAACACACAGACATCTGCTGTTGGAATGAGCATTTAGGAAAATATACGGCGCAAACCCGATTCTCTGAAGAATGCTGTGGTGGCTAGGGGTCGCTTAACCCTCACATCACAGGTCATTTGAACTTCCCAGAGGGCCGCCTAATAACGCTGTTTTCAGTGCACGTGTGAGTGTGTGCAACATTAAGGTTATGTTTCTAAGCTTCAGGGAAAGATCCTGCTTTTATATGTGCATCTGTGTTGTTGCTTATCATTGCTTCATAGTATAGCAAATGTAAATCGTAGTAGCCCATGTTCGTTTGCTCATGGATAGAAACAAATAACCTTTTAAAAATCAGGCTTTCATAACATGACATTGGAAGACAAGTGAATACCTGAAAAAAATATTCTAAGATAAAAAAACATCAGGTTCAAATAAGAGACACAGTGCAAAAGCGGCAAGACAAATTATAGTCCAGTGCCTATCCTTCCTTATTTGCCACTATTTGAAATCTTTACATTCTTTTTTAAACATGGTCAGTCTAAAAAAGGGAACTCTAAACCCTCTTGTTGCTGGTACCTCTGTGACCTTTGCCCTGTGTTGCGTCTATTCAGTCCACCGCCAAAGGTTGCGATTAGCTTTCCGCCTCTTTCGGATCGCCATCCCTACAGTTGGTCACTACCGAACTTGTGAGTATCAAAGTTTTTTTTTGTTGTTGCTGAAGTTGGCGTGTTTTTCCACCAACATCCAGCATAGTTGCACATCTCTTTTTTTTGGTTACATGGTGGTAGGAATTGGTTGCAGCCGTCCTGTCTTTGATAATCAGCACTTTGATAATCAACCCAAATTACAAGTGGTTGGCAGCCTTTTTGTTTCCGCTAGGGCTAACTGGTATTGCTGCAGCAGCTCACCTGTTCTTTGGTGCCTGTCCTTCAGGGTGATGGCAGTGTTTGTGCACCAACTCCCAGTTTAGTGGTGTTCTGTTTTGTTTGCTCTGGTGTTTGGCCACAGCGCTTCCGCTTATAGCCACCTTCATATTGTTTGTGACAGCTGTGGTTGTACCCATTTATTTTGCGTATACCATTTGTTGGTGAAGGCAGCGTGCGCTTCCCTCCCAACATAATGTATCCTATTCCGTTATCTGGTGAGGGCGTTTGTTTGTATTCATTTCGATCCCAATTAATACTCCTTACGATTATCGAGCAAACACTTAGGTTTCCTCGAACACTTCATTGCATGTTTTAAAACACTGAGAACAACAAACCATCCTCTTTTCAAGTGCCCCATGTACTGTGTGATAATTTGAGGACAACAGAGAGGGAAATCCTCTGCCCTCAAGTGCACATGACACCAGCTGGTCCCTGACATGTGGCAGCTTGAACACAAACACATACAGAGGGTCACTAAGGTCCAACACAACACAATTTACCCACACACATAAGCAGACTGTTTGAACAGTGTGCAAGCTGAGTCTCACCTTTACAAAATTGAACATGGCTATCTCACTTCCACTTAAGTTTTTTTCCATCGAGCCCACTTTTAAGGCCTGTTCAAAGTGAACATAACAAAACAGTTAGTACTACAGGCTGTCATAAATGAAAAAGCAAAAAAAAAAACATTCAAATTTTGTTTTAGGTTTATTGCAAGGTTATGAGCACAAGCATCATCCACGAGAGAAAAGCACTCCCTCCTCCTCAACATGTCCACTACTGAAAATAACAGCAAGTCATCTTATGTAGGAACAACTCCCTGTCCTGTACCTTTAACCTGAACAGGCTGTCAACATCTCCTGTGGGACTACTTTGCCTTCAGAGCCAATGCTCATGGCGAACCTACTGACTTACTGTGCCTGTATGCTAAAGATGCAACTAAACAGTGTCGTAGCAGCAAGTTAGCACTTCAAACCTCATCAAGCACCTCAGTGACAGACACGCAGACTTCTCTATGGGGTATTACACACGATAGGTTAGCATATACGCTAGCTGGTTAGTCTGCTAGTAGGATGGTGAAGAGCTCCTAAATTATGTTATACGAGACATGTAACATTAGCATATCAGAGTGTCCTTAAACCAGCTAACAAGTTTGTCCCGTGGAGATATTTGGTTGTGTAACTCTACAAGTGACAACTCAGTCTAAGTATGTATCTTCCTGAATTATTTTGAGTCCTGTCCCATGTCTGGTGGTCAGTGTAACTGAAGGCCCTTACACAACAGGCTGAAAGTGAACGGTCAATCAGTGCTGACCCTTCATCTGTGCTCCTAGTTTAAAGGGGTTTCATAGAGTTTTGGCCCTTGTCTTCAGCTTTTAACTGATTGAATATATTTAATTAGAACTGATAGCTGAGAAATCTCAGTCTGTCTAAATGGCTGTTCGGCTAAGCTAATCAATGCACATGAAGAGAAACAGAAGTGCAGAAAGAAAGCAAACAACTAGTCCTTTCATATTCCACAGGGAAACCCCATAAGGCTGTCAGTGCCATTCAGATGATTTTATAAGACACATGCCATTGTTTTTACCACAGAAGGACATAAAGCAACAGTATGACAGCTTTCAGAAGCAGCTCCCGCTTCCTTATGCAGCGGTCTTTGACGTAACATCTGGTGTTTCCTTGGCAACGATAAAACATTTCAATTCTGTCATGGTGGCTCATCATGGCGGCTGCCGGGACAAGACACTTCCTGTTACAACTCTAAAAATACGGATTTCTAGTAATGCAAGTACTCAACAAAAAATATATACTGTATAACATAGGTTTAGTCATTTTTTTATTTATCCATTATTTGAATGTAAACATTGTCATACAATTCTACATACTATACCTATAAGAATTCTTTTTTCAATTACAATTAAAACTGGTGTCACCCGCTGGTACAAATACTTATAGGTGCACAACCGGCTGGTGGCTAAAATTGGAAAATATTTATCTTGTTCAGCAGTGATTAGTGACCAGCCGTTACTCTGAAATAAACTGATTCTATGGTAATCTCAGATTAACACACAAAGCCGCACATTTCATTTTGTGCGAGTGACAGCCACAAACACAACCAAGCTAACATGTCCACATGCCCCTCAGCAAAGCCAAACATCATTAAACTATTGAAGGATAAAAAAAAAAGGCTATTCCCTGTCATTCTCTCCTCTTTCCCAAAACACCCACAACCAGTTTTTGTTCCGCATCCGTACGTGGGCTGAGGCTCGCAGTGCGTTAAACATTGGAAAACAAAAGGGGAGTGATATAGACAATGTTGTTTCCCGTTCACTACATTGTTTAAGTCCAGTCCTGTGGACGGTTTGCTGGTAACACCACACGACTGCTGAAAGGAACGGGGCAATGTCTCTGGAGACACTGACACTCTGACATATACATCGAGGGTCGTATGTGATGATTGAAAGTGAATTTTTTTACCTTTTAGACTTTAATTATTCTCAATTACTAACATTTTGAAGAATACTGAAAAAAAACAATGGAATTTCTGCAGTGGATTTCAAAGAGAAGGTATGCAGTGTGTTAGCTCAGCTACAGTAACAAGCTGCTAGATAGCTAAATGTAGAGGCATGTAGACAGACCTGTTGTGGGCCTGCAGGGTAAACACAGACACACACACTGCTGTAAATGCTCGGGAAGAAAATGTACTCAGGTAAATGTTCTCCATCGGGGGAAAGAGAAAAAAAAAAGGAGCAGCAGCAAAGATTTTTTTTTTTATGTTGAATTTTCTGGTAAAAGCCAGTTGCACTTGACAGTTACTTTGCATCACACACACCACACACACCACACACACCCACACACCCACACACCACACACACACACACACCCACACACCCACACATCAAGAAACCAGAAAGAATAATGATTACAGTCAAACCAGCTACACAAAGCTAAAAAAAATGTCAGCATCTAACTTGTTCCCTCTCCGAGGCTGAAATTGTTAGGTTGGAAATGTACATTTTACATGTGTAGTCCAGATCAGGAAGTTAAAAGTGACAGTGGTTTTATACAGTACAAAGACACAAGAATGATAAATTGGAAAGAAAAACTGAGAAAAGTGACAAAACAGATAAATACAATGGCAAAAGAAGTCAGAAAGGGATTCTGATAGTATGCGATGAAAGAAAGCGTGTGTGTGTTTGTGCACGTTAAGTGTGTGCACGTGCCTGTAGGAGCTGGCTGGGCCACCCCACCCTGTTTAATGTCACTCTGACGTCAAAGCCATGTGTGTCGGCCCTTAATGCAGACAGGATGGAGCAAGTATTTATTTTACTTTGGTTCTCCCCTCAGAGAGAACGGGGCCCTCCATAAACACCGACTTCAGAGCAGTTTCGCTCAGTCATATCCGAGCTACAGCCAGCGCTGAGATCATAGCACAGAATCTCAGCAAAGGCCACGGACCAGATTCCAAAGTTGGAAAATGTTAAGAAAGTCGAAAGTCAAATCATGTGACACGCTGCTTGACTACACAGATACGCATTCCTTTCTGAAAAAGCTATATAGACAGTAGGGTCATCCTGGCCACACAGCAGTCCAACATGTGTAACATGTTACTTTCAACTGTCTGAATTCACATCTTCCCCCTCTCTATTTTTCCCAAGTTTTCTGCAGCTCTGCTGTCAACGATCCAACAAAAGCAAAATGCAAAATGCAAAATGCAGGAAAAAACAACATAAAAAAACTGCACGGCAGCTTTTTGCCATGGATTCATGGACAATAGAACACACTCAAGTAGTTTACAACTACAGAAGGTTTGCTT